CATCTATGTGCTTGGTCCTCGCATGATGAACCTGATACTTAGCCAAATAAATGGCACTCTGACTATCACAATGTACCTCCACCTGCTTCTGATCAACCCCCAAATCTCTAATCAGCCCATGTATCCAAATGGCCTCCTTTATAGCTTCAGCAACTGCCATATATTCAGCCTCTTTAGTAGACAAGGCAACAGACGACTGCAAAATGGACCTCCAACAAACTGGCCCTTTAGCCATAGTAAACACATAGCCTGTAGTAGACTTCCTTCCATCCAGATCACCTGCATAATCTGAATCAACATAACCAACTGCAAAATGACCAATACCAGAGTCATCCCTCTCAAAGCATAAACCAACATCTCGAGTACCATGGAGATATCTCAATATCCACTTAGCTGCTTGCCAGTGCTCTTTACCTGGATTATGCATATATCGACTCACCATGCCAACTGCATGAGCAATATCCGGTCTAGAGCATACCATTGCATACATCAAACTACCAACCAAATTTGCATATGGTATATTTTTCATTTGCAGCTTCTCTTTATCATTTTTAGGACATTGTAGAGAACTCAATTTAAAATGAGAAGCCAAAGGGGTACTAACCGGTTTGGTTGAATCATGAACTCCAAACTTCCGAATCAACTTCTCAAGGTATTGTCTTTGATTCAAACTGACCAAACCCTTCTCTCTATCTCTAGTGATCTCCATGCCAAGGATCTTTTTTGCTTCACCAAGATCCTTCATCTCAAACTCATTCTTCATTTGTTTCTTCAATTTCTCAATCTCCTCAACATTCTTTGAGGCAATCAACATATCATCAACATATATCAATAAATAAATGAAAGACCCATCTTGCAACTTCTTGAAGTACACACAATAATCATATTGACTTCTAGAATAATTTTGGCCTCTCATAAATTTATCAAACCTCAAATACCATTGCCTTGGAGATTGCTTCAAGCCATAAAGCGATTTCTTCAATTTGCAAAACAAATTTTCCTTCCCTTTCACTATATACCCATCCGGTTGACACATATAGATCTCTTCATTCAAATCACCATGTAGGAAAGCCGTCTTCACATCGAGTTGTACAAGCTCAAGATCATATTGTGCAACAAGAGCTAACATAATACGAATTGAGGAGTGCTTCACAACTGGAGAAAATATTTCATTGTAGTCAATGCCCTCCTTTTGTGCATACCCTTTAGCAACTAATTTTGCTTTAAATCTCACATTGCTTTTCTCATCAGCATCTTCCTTCTTGGCATACACCCATTTGCAACCAATAGCTTTCTTGCCCTTAGGCAATTTAGCTAACTCCCAAGTCTTGTTCTTCAAGAGAGAATTCATCTCATCACCCATGGCATTGCACCACCTATTCTTCTCCTCACTCTCAATAGCTTCCTCAAAATTGGATGGAATCTCTTCAGTGATAATAGGAAGAGCAAAAGCAACATAATCACTATACCGAGCTGGCTTGGTAATTTGTCTCTTTCCTCTGTTCTTGGCAATAGACTCTTGAGGTGAAACTTGCTCTTCAACTTGAATAGAATCTTCAAGTTCAACTTCTTCAACATCTTCATGGTCTCCAACTTCTTCACTTGTAGTGGCTTCGACATCAGCGGAAATAGGATTTGAAGTACCAGAGGCAACTTTCTCAAGCTCCACCTGTTGGACATCTTTCACATTTTTCTCAGAGTCTTTGAACATACTTTCTTCATCAAATGTCACATCTCTGCTGATTACAAGTTTTTTCATCTCTGGGCACCACAACCTGTAACCTTTGACACCACTACTAAAACCAAGAAAGATAGCCTTTTTGGCTCTAGGATCAAGTTTATTTTCAGTCACATGAAAATAAGCAGGTGAACCAAAAATACGGATATAGTCATAATCAGAAGAAGATTTTCCAGTCCATACCTCCATTGGTGTCTTACCCTGAATAGCAGCTGAGGGTAACCGGTTGATGATGTGACATGCATAATTAACTGCTTCTGCCCAAAATGACTTGCTCAAACCCGACTGAGACAACATACATCTAACCTTCTCAAGCAAGGTTCGATTCAATCTTTCTGCAACTCCATTTTGTTGTGGAGTTCCCCGAACACTGAAATGTCTCACAATTCCGTCTTCTTTGCAAACTTTAAAGAAATGATCGGATGTGTATTCACCACCATTATCCGATCTCAAAATCTTAATCTTTCTCCCAGTCTGGTTCTCAACCATTTTCTTCCAACCCAAGAAAATGCTTAACACCTCACTATTGTGCTTCATAGTGTAGACCCAAGACCTTCTTGAATAATCATCAACAAAGGTCACGAACCAATGTCTACCACTCAAAGAGGGAGTCTTTGTAGGACCCCAAACATCCGAATGCACATAATCAAGAATGCCCTTCGTCTGATGTACAGCAGTACCAAACTTCACTCTAGTTTGCTTCCCCAAGACACAATGCTCACAGAAATCAAGCTTACAAGTCGTGGCACCTTTTAGAAGACCTTGTTTCACAAGCCCTTGTAGAGCTTTCTCACCGGCATGGCCTAATCTCATATGCCACAATCTAGTAGTATCTGAATCAGATGTGCCCATATTTTTAGAGACTACAGATGCTTCACCTGTCACAGTGCTTCCCTGCAATAAATACAAATGGCCACATCTAGGAGCTTTCATCACAACAAGTGCACCATAAGTAACTTTCAATGTCTGTCCATCTGAATGAAACCTGAAACCCTTGGATTCCAAAGTACCCAAAGAAATAAGATTTTTCTTCAAATTCGGTACATACCGAACACCTGTCAACTCTTTAACCATGCCATCATGCAACTTCAAACGAACTGTACCAATCCCTTTTGTTGTGCAAGGATTGTCATCTCCCATGAACACAACGCCACCATCAAACTCTTTCAAGCTTGAAAACCAATCCTTGTGAGGAGTCATAGATGAGTACAACCCGTATCCAACACCCACTTAGTAGCACAATCAAATGATGAGGAAGTGGTTAAAGCAAAATCAGAAAAATCTGTTTCAACCTCAGCAACATTAGCTTCAGAACTTTCTTTTCCTTTGGTCTTCAATTTGGAACAATCTCTCTTCCAATGGCCCTTATTACGACAAAAGGCACATTCATCCATTTCCAAAGGTTTTCTACCTTTAGAGTTTCCTCTAGGTCGAGACTGTGATTTTTTCCTGCTAGAAGATGATCTTCTCTCCGATGATCTACCTCTAACAAATAAAGCTTCAGAGGTACTATCATGATTTTTATCTCTATGCCTCATTTCATAATTCATCAAGGCATTTGACACATCTTCAAATTTCACAGTTTCTTTACCATGCATAATAGTGGTAACAAAATGCTCATAAGAGTCCGGCAAGGAATTCAACAATATTAAGGCCTTATCTTCATCCTTAATATCCTCATCTAAATTTAACAAGTCGGCAATCAACTTATTAAAAGCATCAAGGTGTCTAATCATTTTTGTACCTTCTTTATATTGGAAGCGGTAGAGCTTTTTCTTCAAGTGTAGCCGGTTCTCTGCACTCTTCGTCATATACTTGTCTTCCAATTTTTGCCACAACACACTTGCCAATGTCTCCCGCATCACAAAATACTTCTGAGTTTTTGCAAGGCACAACCGAATTGAAGAGCAAGCCCACAAATTTAATTTCTCCCATTCCGGCTTCGACATAGCTTCCGGCTTCTCTCCCAAAGCGGCAAGTAGATCTTGTTGAGCCAACACATCTTTGACCTCACATTGCCACATCCCGAAGTTGTTTGTGCCATCAAACTTTTCCACTTCGAACTTTGCATTTTGCACCGTAGTTCTTGCAAACCCGGAGCTGCTTCCAAAAGGATTTTCATCTTGCCCGTCTGACATCTTTGGCAACTAGACAGTACCCAAGAGCAACCAGTGCTCTGATACCAATTGTTGTGCTAAGATAGGACCAAACCCTTTAGAACCAACTCTTTGATAACCCACAGGAAATATATCAAATGAAATGCAAGAACAAAATATTAAAGACACCAAGATTTTAACGAGGTTCCTCAACAGTCAGTGTAACTGGAGTACGTCCTCGGAGCAGTAGGAGCTCACCTAATAATCCACTATCAACCAAATGGGAGTTTACAAAGTATTGGCAATCTCACAACCCATATAACCCAATACACCCAATAACTCTCACACTCTAAAGAAACAAATAGAGAAAGAAATATAGTGATTAATTTCTTCTCTATACAAAGCTCAAAGCTATTACAACAATAACACTTTGATGGAGTGAGAACTATCCAATGAAAGGAACAACAACTCCTTCTCTCAAAATGGTACTGCAGCAGTACCTTCTTTCTCTCCCTCTCTTCTCTTCGGCTCACCAATTTTTCTGCTCACTTAAAAAACCAAAAGGGCAGCAGCTCCCTCATCATAACATAGCCTTCATTCAAGTCACCCCGTGACTTCCCATGGACCAAGAAAACTTTAGACAAAAAACCCTTTTCTTTTCCCCAAAATAAGGAAGAGACATAATTATTTTGTCTACCTTTTTCTTTATAATTTTATAGTCAAAAGCTGCCACTTGGCCACATACTCCAACAGGAAAAAGTTAAATAAAAGGGGACCACCACCTACTTGTTGGGAGTGTCGGAACTGAGAAACTACGGTAATGGTATCAAAAATAAATAATCATGCAGTATGGTGTGAAAAAATTAAAACATAAGACAATACATGATTGATTTAAAACACGGACATCGTTCTAACTAGGTATACGTGTTTGTGTGAACGTGGGGTTTCCACACAGCATTACATGAAGTGAATGTGGTCTTATCCGCAGAAAGTGGGGTGTGAACACAGTTCACACTTGTTGGATTGATCCAAAAAATCATATCGTTGACGATTCAGTTGACTTGACTTTCTCTAATGGGAAGTCTTGATCTTTGGAGGACTTTGAGTCCATACACTGCCATTAATTTCCAAGAAAAAAAAAAAAAAACCAGCCGACAGCAGCTGGACCTGGTTAATAATTTTGGACCCTCTCTCCCAAACCCACATAATATAAGAGGATGAGGAGGATCACTTTGTGAGTCCATGTCTTTGATGCATAGTGATGGGGCGTACTGCGCGGTCTGTCTCTCGGTTTTTCTCTCTGCGGAAGAAGAAACAAAAAGATTGGGCGTTTCCTGAAGAATTATGCCGTCATTTTACACATGCTGAGATCAGTGCAGCAACTCAATGTTTCGACGAGAGCTTATGTATTGCTAAGCGTAGCTTTGGCTCAGTATACAAAGGACATATTAAGGTCAATGGGGATGAGGACAGGAAAGACGTCGTTGCAATCAGGCGCATTTCCGAAGTTTCAGAACTGGTAATGCCTGATTTCAGGGCGGAGGTACAGCTACTCTGCCAGCTGCGCCATCCCAACCTCATCTCTCTCATCGGATTCTGCCAAGAAAATGGAGAGTGTATCATTGTCTACGATTACATGTCCAACGGTACCCTCTCTGATTACCTCCTTGATCCTTCCAACATTAAAAATAAAGATCATTTTCCCTTGACTTGGAAGCAAAGGCTGAAAATTTGTATTGGGGTGGCGCGTTCAATACACTACCTCCACGCAGGGGTTAAGCATGCTGTCATCCATCGAAACATAAAATGCTCCAACATTCTATTAGACCAAAACTTGGTGCCCAAGCTTTCTGACTTAGGGATTGCCAAGTTGGGTCCTTTTGCCTTGTCAAATGCATTAATCAAATTAAACTCGGAGGTGTCTGGTACAATAGGCTATCTTGATCCAGAGTATGCATTGTCTGGCAAGCTTACCGAAAAATCTGATGTCTTCTCATTTGGAATGGTGTTATTTGAAGTGCTGTGTGCCAAATCTTGTTCAACAGAGATGCCCGAATGCGTGGAAAGGGGTGAGACTTTCCCTGCCATGATTGATCCATTTCTGGTGGGAAAAGTAGCTCCAGATTGTTTGAGAAAATTTATGAACATCGCCGAGAGATGTGTGCGCTCTGCAGGAGCTGAACGGCCTACAATGGGTGAAGCTGAGGTGGAACTTGAGTGCGCATTGGAGTTGCAGGAGAGCGCAGATGCCGTCAAGCAGCTCAAGGAGTTGGGGACAACTGCAAGCAGTTCTCTTGCTCCTCCTCCTCCTGCCGCCCATGACATGGAGGACTATACCTACCAAGATATATCATTTTCTGAGATCAATGAAAATTTATCAAATATATATTTGCGAAAGTGGCCGTGAGAGTCATTTAGTACTGACCTGGCAGCTTATGTTGATGGTATTGCTAGTTTTTTTTTTTTGTCAAACGATAAATTTTGTTAGTCACTAACGAGATTTGAACCCATGCCGTCATGTAAGGGCTCAACACTGCATTTGGTGATATTTTTGTGAGGCTATGAGTTTCAATATTCTTCGGTTGTAAAATAGCGAACATTTATGCTGAGGTTTGGATTTTGTTTGCCAACATTTTGCGAAACCAAATTTCTCAGAGTGTAAAATCACAAGTTCATTTTATGTGGTTCATTCGGTGTCATACCTCTCTCCGACCTCCCCAAACGACGTCTTCATGGTTCATCCTTCAATAATTTGTATTAATTCATCAATGAATGTGGAACAAGATGGAGTTGGAATTTTGTGGATTTAGAGGGAGTGAGCCATGACTGTTCGAATTAACGAGGATTTTACCATGGCTCACTCTCCATGTGGTGGAAAGCGTAACCTCTATGTGAAGGTTTTGTCCTTTCCTTCCATACTTTCCATACTTCCAATTCCATACTCACTCACCAAATTCTCAAATGTTAGGTTTAATCAACCTGACTATGCACTTGAAATGATTTTCTAACAAGTTAAACCGAAATGATCCTTTTGCTTTATGTAAGGAGAATTTTTTTAGTGCAATAGTCCGATCGTCACGTGTTATTACTAATCTATGTCTTATAATATGAGTAAACGACATGATTAATAATTTTATTGATCCAAAATATAATATCAATAAGTAAATACCCACGTTAAAAAATAATTGACTTGCCGAATGCTGAATTTTCCAATCCAATCATCTTCAAAATTTGGAGTTCACATACCTCACTTAGCCATGTTAGTTAGAGCAGTATCTTCATTTTTCGACACCCAAGTTCGAATCTCTCTCCCCTAGTTTAGATCACATCCATCAAATAAAAAAATTGGAAGAAAACAAAATGGGCCTGGTCTTGGGTTGGGCCCATATCCCTAGTAAGTGGAAAAAACTTTTGGGCTTCAAATTGAAAACCAGCTTTCGCACCAATTGCCGCCAAACCAGGTCGGCCCGTATCTGTAATTTAATTAGTTAAACTACCATTAATTAAATTACCATTTTATCCCCCACTTTCTCCTTCCCTCCTTCTTTCCCCAGATCCCATATGAGAGCATATGATATGACCACCTGCAAAAACACCAAATCCCAGATCCACTACCACCACGCGCATTCCCCTCCTTCGTCGTAGGGTTTATCCCACTCGCCCCGAGTTGACTCACCCGACTCGCTCATGAACCGGAACCACAATTACAAGAACAGCAGCAATGCCTCCAACAAAGAGATGGTAATCATGGACGCCCGACCCGGAAAGTTGAACAGCCGATCCAATTCCATATCCGACCCGAACACCAGCCAAAGCCTCGCCTCCATCCTCAACAACCCCAATGCCTCCGACGCCTCCTCCTGGGTCGGCTGGTGGTCCTCCTCCGCCTCCGTCTCCCCGCCCGAATTCGCTCCTCTCGTGCCTAAATCGGCATCGGACTCCGTGACCCGATCCGACTTCCAGCCTTACCTCGCCTCCGTCTCCGATCACTACAACCGCTTCGCGGACATCCTCAACCACGTCAAGAAGGAGAAATCCGACGTCGACTCCATCGGCGGCCAAGGAGAAGCCCTCGTCGCGTGCCTCCGGGAAGTCCCGGCGCTCTATTTCAAGGAGGACTTCGCCCTGGAAGACGGCGCCACGTTCCGTTCGGCGTGCCCGTTCACGAACGTCTCCGAGAACCTGGTGCTGCAGGAGAAGCTGTCGCATTACTTGGACGTGGTGGAGCTTCACTTGGTGAAGGAGATCTCGCTGCGTTCCAACTCCTTCTTTGAGGCCCAGGGGCAGTTGCAGGACTTGAACGTCAAGATCGTCGAGGGATGCAGTCGGATTCGAGAGCTCAAGGAGACAATTTTGCTCTTGGATGTCGATTTGGTCGACTGCGCAAGGCAGATTCATGATCTGAATGAAACCAGGAGCAATTTGTTGGCTCTGCAGCAGAAATTGAGGCTCATTTTATACGTCAATCAAGCTCTTTCGGCACTTAAACTCGTATGCATTGTGCTTCAATATCTTTCTTTCGGTTTTAATCATTTCGGGTTTGTAGTGTATTCAATTGTGCATGTATTGATAGTTATTAGTTAGTAGCTATTTGGTCTAGAATTCACTTCTTCAAGAATCGCCAATTTGCGATGTTGGATTTGATCTTTTTTCTTAGTAGATTGATTTCCTTCGAGAATCGGTTCAAAGCATAAAACTTGATGACCATTTACATTTCTTGCAAATACTAGCAAGACCCAATTTGAAGCACTGATACGTGATTGGTGAGGTTTCCGATAGCTCTACTCGGATTCAATGATAGATTTTGAATTTGTTGCACAATTACTCAAAATTGTAGTTGCAATTTTATCCCCAACCTGTTGACGGATTATGAAAATTAAACTCTTGTTGTGCACCTAACTTTCAGATGATTAGTGGCTTGTTTTTCGTCCCCGTCTTTAAGAAATGCTCATGATTTTCAATTGAGAAGTTAGGTGAAAATGTATATGTCATTTTTATAAGTAGCAAGATTCTTAATATAAGTTGATTTACTTTTTCTGTCATACAGCTTGTTGCCTCTGCAGATTGTGCTGGAGCCTTGGACGTCACAGATGATTTACAGCATTTGCTGGTATGTTTTTATTTACGTTTTGTTTGATCTGCTCCCAAAAACTAGTGTACTAAAACAAGGAACGGTGTACCAGACTACAATTTCTATCTACCTTATTGATGTCAATGTGTTTAATAGGATGGGGATGAGCTTACTGGTCTACATTGCTTTCATCACCTCCGGGATCGTGTAGCTGCTTCAATTGAATCGATAAATAGGTATGATTTCCTGTTGTAGTGGCACTATTATTAAACAAATGAGTGACTCCATTTGAGTTGCTTATGATTTTTTCAATATAAGGAAAACTAACCAAAAGTCCTCAAAAACTTTAGTTTTAATCAAAAGGACAAAATAGTGTTGTAAGTGAATAGTACCATGAGTGACTTTTTAGAGTAAAAATGTCCTTAACGTTAAAAGTGAATAGTACCAGGAGTGTTTCATCAAGACTCCCATGGGCAGCTTTTAATTTCTTTCTTCTGAGAATCTGAAATAGAGATGCCTTTCTTCATCCTGTTTGGCTTATATTGACCAGAATATTGGGATAAACATTTTATGTCTTTCAAATGGAATAAAATTCGATGAGGCATGTTTATAGTAACTTATTAAATTTATTCTTGTAGCATTCTTTCTGCAGAGTTTATGCGTGCTTCAATACACGATGCCGGAGATACAGATGTTATAATTATATCCAGAGTGAAAGCAAGGGCATCTAGTCTCATGAATGGAGAAGGAGAAGATGGTGAAGTAAGCTCAAGTCTTTTTCTTAAATTGCATAATATTTCAAGTCTATTCTCTCCCGTGAGGAGCTGCTCTCCACTGATTGAAAAAAAGCAGATAATTAAGTTTAGTAGCCATTGCATTTCTTTTACTTCCGAATCAGCTGAAATGCTTACAGATAAATACACTATTGTAGGAATTAAAATTTTCTTTGCAGAAATTATGTGGCACCATATCTTTTCGATAGTATGCTTTGAAATCTGATTTTACGACAACAGTATTTGAAGATCGTTCAAAAACCAGTGCCCTGCCATAAGCCATGTTGCAAGTTTTGTGGAACCTGCCCGAAAGCATTTAATTTAAGTTTGACCATTTACTTCAGCTATAAAGACTTTGTAGGATCTTTGAATGACTTAACTGTTTTTGTACACCCAGTGCCTTGTCCAAACTTCATGGTTTCTTTTTTGTATATGTTATATGCTGTAACTGCTTTTTTCAGTTGATATCCTTTATCGTGATTTCAGAAGTCTGGGCATGATTCTATATATAAACTGGTCACTGTTATTTTTGTATCAGCAGATTAAGTTGGATGATGAAGAAACCTCCAATTTTCAAGATCGTCTTCTTCCTGTCATCATTGGATTGCTTAGAACTGTGAGTAGTCATCGTTTTGTCAAACCTAATATGTTTTCAACCAATTTTTTTTTTTTCGTTGGGGTGGAGTTGATTTCTTTCTGTGATCAAGGAGTACCTTTAGTGATCTTTTAAGTAAAGTTGGTATCCTTTTACTTTCAGGCCAAGCTCCCTTCTGTGTTGAGGTTATATCGTGACCAACTTACAGCTGACATGAAGACTGCTATTAAAAATGCGGTTGCAGAGCTGCTTCCCATTCTTGTTTCACGACCACTGGAGTCAGATTTTACACCTGGAGAGCGAGTTGATGCAGATGGTGAGAAATTTGTGATATTGTTTGTCATCTATGCCTATGAAGAATTACACGTAATATAGAAGAAAAATAGATTCTATAATTCTCAATTTTTATGTTTACGTTCTGTCTTGTTCTTTTCTTTTTGTGCCGTGTTTTTTGTACACGAATTTGTCTTTGATCTTTTAAACATGGTTTTTTAGGTTTTGGCGCATCACTTGCGAGCAAGTTGAGGAGCCTGTCATCTGAGAGCTTTATTCAACTTTTAAGTGCTATTTTTCTAATTGTAAGGGTATGTGTTCTAGACTATTCTTGTTTTGTTTCGTAGGCATTGTATTGCTGAAAAATAAGATGCTCTATAATTGCTTCGTTGAATTCCCAGTATACTCACTATTTATTTTCTTCAGGTTTAGTGTGTATCTATTAAATTTGATATTTCTAATGATTAACATTTATTGGGCTTAGCTTGAGGATAGATTTGGCTTGGGGTTGTCTGCGATGTGTAGTCAATTATATATTTTGTTTCTTGCAAGTTGTGACCACTTCACTAATATGAACCAACTAATATCGCTTGTCATAATTTTCAATCACTTGATAGCCGGTTGAACCAATTACAGATATTCTCTAACCCTAATACATGTAAAGAAATCATAGATGGGTTTCCTCCTCCATTTTGGTCAATTCTGTTGCTTTAATATTTGAGTCTATCAGTCAAATTCATTTGGGAGCATTAGGGTAAGGGACAAACAGTTTTAAGGGCAGCAGTTCTTATAAAAGAACAGGTACTGGTCACATAAACTCACCATACCTACATGATCTGTTTTTAGATTGCTCGATAAGTTATTATCAGATGGCATATGTGCTGTATTTCATTCATTTTTTCATGTGAGCTTTATCTAAGTTCTTCTTTTCTATTTTCTTTAAGCATCAACCACTATTTGAGTGTGATGTCATATGAATTATTTTAGTGAATGCAGGCACATCTAATGCGGGCTGCTGAAGTGAAGAAGGCCATTGAATGGATTATGTGCAACCTTGATGGTCACTATGCAGCCAATTCAGTTGCTGCAGCGATTGCAGTTGGTGCTGCGGCTGCAGAAACAGCTCAAGAGGGTGATGGTCAAGGTGGCTTGCTTATGCCATATTCACCCCATAGGGTTGCTACAAAGGCACTTTCAATTCAAGGGAAAGCTAATGATGCAACAAGTCCTTCAAACATCTCTAAGAATTTTAGGTGGGCTCTTGTCTCTTGATTATGTTACTCTGATGTCCAAAATTTTCACCTTTGCTGAAACCTTATGCATCTTTGAATTTTAAATTTTGTTTTGTGTTCGTCTTGCCATGTAAAATAAATTTTGCCCTTAGGAAGGTCTGAAATTCTTTGGTTAATTTTAGGGGTTTAGTTTTGATATGTCCAAAAATTGGAGTGCTTCCAAATGCATACTGTCTGAAACAATGTGATTCTAAACAGAGCTGATGTGTTACGAGAAAACACAGAAGCTGTTGTTGCAGCATGTGATGCTGCTCATGGAAGATGGGCAAAACTACTCGGTGTTCGTGCTCTTCTTCATCCAAGGTTGAGATTGCAGGAGTTTTTGAGCATATATAACATCACCCAAGACTTTATAACAGCTACAGAGAAGGTATGCATATTTAATTCTTTTATCTGTCCCCTTTCTTTTATTGTCCTTTCTTTGATCCTTTAGTTTTATGATCAACCATGTTATGTCTCTGGTGCCATTTTGTCCACTGCCAACATAAAACAGATAGGGGGAAGGCCGGGATTTAGCATCAGGGGAACAATACAGTCACAGGCCAAAGCCTTTATGGATTTTCAGCATGAATCTCGTGTTAGTTTCCGATAGTATATACTTATACTTTACTTTCTGCTTTATCTTGTTTGTTGCTATGAACCAATTTTTTTTTTTTTTTTTTGGTTGTTGTAGATGGCAAAAATTAAGGCAGTTCTTGACCAAGAAACTTGGGTGGAAGTGGATGTTCCTGATGAATTTCAGATCATTGTCACTTCACTATTTAGTTCTGAATCATTGGTTTCCCAGAACCTGGATGCTGTCCAAGATAATACGGAAACAAGTTACAATGAGGTGGCCACAAGCAGTAATAGTTCACATGCAGCAGAAACGGAATCATCAGTTGCTGAACAGCAATCTAAAGGGGCGGATTCTAGTGAAACATCTGCGGATGTTACTGTAAAGGAGACACCAAAGTCTGATGGAACTGAGAAAAATAAAGCTGATGTTGCAAATTCTGTTGCTCAAAATAACCATAGCAATAAGGAGCGAGGAAAATCAACCTCTCAAAGCCTTTTCTACAAAGGTGTTGGTTTTCACATGGTAAACTGGTCAGTTGCCTTGTTTTTCTTATTTCTTGTTGTCTATCTTTTTGTTTTCCCCATTTATTCTTTTTTTTTTTTTTTTGTTACTCCAATCCTGATTTGCAATTTGGAGTTTTGGTTTGCACTCTTCTTTCCGCCATCAAGGAACTTACTATTAATTTTTTTCAATAATTATAAGAATTTTTCAGTATAAGCCTTTAGTTACATTTTCTCCTTGTCCTTGGTTTTTTCCTCCAGTGGCTTGATATTGATGAAGATGTTGTCAGAATACATTGATATGAACAACTTTTTCCCAACACTGTCCTCAGAAGTTGTTCATCGTATTGTAGAAATTTTAAAATTTTTCAATACAAGAACGTGTCAGCTTGTTCTTGGTGCTGGTGCCATGCAGGTACTAATTTCTCTCTATAATAGATGATATTGTTGCAAATATTTAGGAATTTTCGCTCAAACACCAAAAGGGTTATGCAACTGAGGTGATCAAATAGCTACTGTTCTTCAATGTACATGTATCAAAAACGCATTACACTGATTTTACATGCAACTTTCTTTCTTGAGCCCAGAAATGCTTTAAGTGATTGTTCAAAACGCTGTTCCAAGTTTGTGGTCACTTTGTCCTGTTATATCTACTGACTATGCTCCCCGGGGTCATTCTTGCGGCTTTTTGATAGATCACATGTGATAATGCAGGTATCCGGTTTAAAGTCTATTACTTCTAAACACTTGGCCTTGGCAAGTCAAGTCATCAGTTTTACGTATGCTATTATTCCTGGTAGGTGATTACAACTTTATTTTGAAAAATTGTTGTATATATGTATGTATTTGTAGAATTCTACTTTGATCATCGAGTAATCACTTTATTCATTCCATTTCTGCAAGAAATCAGGCAAATTCTTCAAAAAGTGCCAGAGACAAGAAAGGCATTGCTGCTATCAGAAATTGATCGAGTAGCTCAGGTTTGTCTTCTACTTTTATTTTAATTATATATATGTAATTTACATGTTTGTCAAGTTTGTTAACCTTTCAGAATGCACCTGTAATCTCGAATTCTAAAATCAGATTCTTTGAGCCCATATTTACTTTAGCCAAGTTTTTTGCACATATTCCAGAAACCATTCCGATGTTTCTTCATTCAATTTAAAACAGGATTATAAGGTTCACAGAGATGAAATACACACCAAGCTAGTTCAAATCATGAGAGAAAGGTTATTGGTTCATCTACGCGGGTTGCCCCAAATTGTAGAGAGCTGGAATAGACCTGAAGAGGCTGATCCACAGCCTAGCCAGTTTGCTCGATCCCTTACCAAGGTATCTTTTTCTTTTTTTTCTTTTTTTAATAGAAACAAGTGGTTATTGTATCTGTTTATCTAACACCCCTCTGGGGATTTCTTTATCTTAATTGATCTTTATGGGCCTCACCCAACTGATTTGCAGGAAGTTGGATACTTACAACGTGTTTTAACTCGAACTTTACATGAGGTTGATGTCCAAGCGATTTTCAGGTAAGGCTCATATCACATGGAATTTGCTTGGAAACTTGGTCAAAGACTCAAAGGGTCTTGTTTTCCCACCCCGCCCCCCACATTTAGTCGATGTGCTTTGGTTGATGAGATTGGCAGTTAATGATTACTGTGGTTCGTAATTTTTAGGCAAGTAATTTTGGTCTTCCATTCACAAATATCAGAAGCATTTTCACGGTTAGAGATCAGCACACCACAAGCCAAGGACAGGTACTACCATTTCAGTTCTCCCCCCCCCCCCCCCCCTCTCTCTTTTGTGTGCATACAAATTGTTAGAACTCCTTAATGAAACTCAACTTTTCACTTTGTCTACCAGGCTGCGCCGGGATGTCAAACACATTCTTGGCTGCATTCGATGTTTACCTTCGGATAAAATGAGCGAATCTAGTATTCCAAACTGGGGTCAGCTAGATGAATTTTTGGTGCAGAGATTTGGCGAGGAAGCCAGTTAAATGTTGTTGTAAAGTAGCGAATCACTTGCTTCGTTGGAGATGGCTAATCAAATTTTTGGGGATGTCAGAACCAATTTCGGTGGCCTATGCATTTCCCTTGTACAATTTTATTGAGGTAACCTGAGTGTAAGCACTACGGCGCTCTCCCCCTCCCTCCCTCTCTAAACACACACACACCGTCTATTTTTTCCGTTAGCTTACCGGTGTCTTTATTTTTCAGGTTTTACATTTTTTCTGAGATGTATAAAGGCAGTGTACTCAGATCCAAATATTTCAAGAAGGTTGTTGAAATTGAAACCGGAATGTTTTTTCTGTAGCAGTCACACTTGAATTACCATTTGTATTTACTAGGACGACTCAAATCAATGTTTTGCTCCCCTGATTGTAATTTTGAGTTAAAAGATGACGACGATTGATTTTTTTTGGTTTTTTAGCTTAGTGAAGGGACGACGAGCAGTATCGCTTTTGAATTCTCGACTTCCGTCGCCGGAATCGCATCTAATTGTATCAATAGTTGAGTCATTTGCCTGAATGCCAGTCTTAAATGGTAAATAAGAGCTTATTTTTCATGTACCATTTGTGTTTACCAGCTAAAGCTCGTTATTCTGTTTGGGCTGTTATTGGGCCTGCTAGTCTTTACTATCTTTGGGCTTTACTGAAATTATTTTTGAACCCAATATAAAAATGTTGGATCATGAAGCCCTATCCATTAATATCGCTTGCGAGAAAAATTAATGAAATTGATTTTATTTTTTATCTTATTTGTTGTCAATGAGACTCACACAGTAAAGTTAAATTAAAGATTTTTGACTTCATTTTTGTTTGCGGTAAAAAAGACAGTTAGAAAGCAAAAGTCAAATGAGTTATCTGCCACGTGTCATATATGATATCACTCTTCACAAAATCCTTTATTTGAGTCCTAGTTAGCTTATTTAGGCCATCTCTAACCGATGGAGGGCCAAGGGGCTCTCCTTAGTCCTATAGCCCTGCAATAAATTATATTTTAATGAACAGTGTTATACCATATTTTATACCATCTCCAACTGAGGAGACTAAAGGATCATAGGCCAAACATAACAGTTTGACAAAAAACCATCTCTGAGGAGACTAAAGGATCATAGGCTAAACATAACCCTTTGACAAAAAATCATCTCCAACCGAGACGGCTAAAGAGTCATAGGGCAAACATAATTTATTATTTTAATTGAATTAATATGGTTAATTAAATTAAACTATCATATTAAAATAAGGGTTTCAGACATATTTTGAGTGTCACTTGTCGCCAAATGAATAAGCCTCTGGATTTCTTATCTTTATATAATCTCAATAATTTTTTTTTGATAGGATTTCGAGTGACACGTGTCCCTAACGTGAATAGCTCTCCACATTTCTTATCTTTATGTAATCTCAATAATTTTCCAGATATGATTTCGAGTGACACGTGTCGCTAAAATGAAAAGTATGTGAGAAATGGTGTAGGAATGACTTTGGTATTTATAGGAAAAAAAATAGATTTTTCTTTTAAATTCGTCCAAAAAAAAATTTCAAATTTCAATGGTAACCTAACAGCAACATGACATCATGTAGCCGTTGGCATTCAAATGGGCTGAGCTGGCAAAATATCAAGCTTGACATTATGCCACTAGAGGGTTGGCAAAATGCCAAACTTGACATTCTGGCATTGGAGGGCTGACCCCTTAAGGGCTGGCAAAATGTCAAGCTTGATATTCTGGCGCTAGAGGGCTGGTTGGTTGGAAAAGGTTAGCATGCTGGCCTAATTTGGGGGTTTTGGTCAGATGGGGCCCACAAGCCATTTGACCTAGTCCTCGGTTGAAGATGATTTTCGTGTCATTCCAAGCTATTTTTTGTCCTATAACCCTTTGGTCTGGTTGGTTAGAGATGAACTTATAGTTTAGTTTGTAGATGGCCTGCCTCTCCCTACAAATATGACAATTTTTTTACACAAAACAGAACACGCACAACAAAAGCCACGTCATACACAACGTAATAAGCCACGGCGGCGGATATCAACAAGAGAAGCAAAAGAAGACGGTCGACGCCGGTACATAAGGAGAAGAAGGAATCACTTGCGGTGGCTGCGGGACGCGACTATTAATGCGTACCGACTGCACGCACTCATCATCATGTTTTCACATGGATTCGCAGGCGTTGCTCGAAGGATGATACTAACGTCGTCCTCCTTAACGACGCCACAGACGCGTGCAGTTTTCGGCGGTGTTAGGAGTTTCATGTCGGCCCCCGCACCTCAACGCGTCCTCGGGACAAGTTCTCCCCATCGATACCTCGTCCATCCTATCTCACACTCCTCCTCCACTCCTCCTCCACTCTCCAAGAAAGAGCACTCACCTCATCCTCTGCGAAAACCCTATCCTTCTTGACGATGGCAAAATTGTAACTTTACATTATGTTGTGGTAGGATTAGGGTTGACCCCCAAAATTTGAAACATGAATATAACTTTGCTGCTACTAATTCCATGATCTTACGAATATTTTTTTTTTGTATGCATGCACTTGTCGGACTTAGGCATACCGTATGGGTATTAGCGGAGGGAAATGATTTCTACACGCAATTTTCCCTCGTAAAACACAGTCTAATTTCTGATGTCAAGATTGAATGAAATTAATCAGGTTTTTGGAAATACATGTGTGCGTGTAGAAATCATTTCCCTTAATAGAAATGAGTTTGTAACTGTGGATGTTCGCTCGTTCTTATGTTAATGAGCCGTGCGTTGGAATGGAGTAAAAATTTAATGATACGCGCGGGACTTTATGAACTGGGTGATTTTGACAAATGGGAGGCATTCTGTCACTCCAGGTCTTAAATTACTTCATTCGTTGTTACGTTTTTGTGGTGGTTTTAATGACCACTAAGTCTAAACACTTTTAAAATAAAATTTTTACGTCATTGGTGTAGTTTAAGAACGAAATTTCGGTAAAAAATTTGATATTCTATATAGAATTAATGCTCATGTGTCACATAAATCAATAGATGTGACAAAACGAAAAACCAAAATAACGAAAGTCATAAATAGACACATGCACCGACCTGGTGATGAATTAATTGATCTGCATATTATATTCAAAATTAAGGCCTTTGAAAATTCCTATTTAAATAGGAAGCCATGCAATTCATTTGGGGGAGGAAATTCAATAACCAATAGATAACCAATTCACCTCACACCAAACCTTGAAGCCCTGAACTCCAAAGGCTCCCAAGGCAAATCCGAAAATCAAGAAAGCTCTCTTCGTTCTGTGTCAACCCAACCTTCAAAGATCAAGGAGAACGGCACTTGAAGAACTAACCAATTCAAGATCAAGCCCTCGACGGCCCCTTGAGAAGGGTTTCATCGTTTCATCAGTGTCATCCTCAGGATCGTGCCCCAAGCCCCTTGGATCGACAACATTAACGAATCATTCATCAAACTGTTCATTCAAGCTAAGCCCCGACGGTCTCCGCGAAAGATTTCACCAATTCAAGATGAACCTCCGACAGCTCTTGAAAGAGAAAGAGTTGTTCATACGTTCATCATCCGTTCAATTCCTAAGATCAAGCTCCAACGGCCCTTTGGTCAACAACGTAGAAAAACCACAACATCCAACCGTATCAAGATCACGCCTCAAAAGCCTTGAAGATCCGTTCATCACTGTTCTTCAAGATTAAGCCCAAAGCACCTTGAAGATCCGTTTTCATCAACTGTTCTTCAAGATCAAGCTAAAGCCCTTGAAGATCTTTCGTCACCGTCATCCAAATTTGATCAAAACGCCCCTTGGAAACACGTAATCAATTCAGTCAACGCCAAAAATCAAAATCGCACATCCACAATCAACTTACGGAGACGAATCCAGGACAAATTGAGAGAGATTAACACCTAGAATTAATCAAAATATTATTTGAGTGTTCTTGTCTCCCGCAAAGAAAATCGTATTACAGTGATATCTTTTGGAATAATGTTGTTTTATGTTGTATGTAATTAGGCGTTGTTAGTTTGAAATTATAGAACAATTGAGGAGGCTTGAGTTAGGTCTGTTAATCTTTAATAGTGGTAAACAATTAGACAAATTGATTATGTCTATCAAGCTAAAAACAATTTAAGTGCAACGGTGGAAGGGGGGAGTGACGAATTCTTGAAAAGTCTGGTAGGACTTCTTGAAAGAAGAGGTCAGTAGAACCCGCCTGCGTTGTTTCAACCCAAGAAAATCCTTCGCCCAGTAATCATTCCAAAAAGGATCCCGAACTGCTGTTTTTGAGATGGAGATGGGTGAGTTTTTCTGTCCAGGAGAAGAAGATGGTGCGATAATAGAGATGACTTGTATGGAGGTTAATAATTGGACTTAAAGTGGCCTCATTGTTCAGGGGATTGAGGTCAGGCCCAAGAGAACTTAGAAAGTTTCTTATGGTGCATTTTCTATCACATGATGATGCAGCCACAGGAAACTTTGCTGCGAGCGCAGGCGTACTGAGACTTATTTGTTCATAACATTATTGGCAAAACAAAGGAACGAGAACTTAGTGTTTTATAACGTTAATGTAACATCCCAAAATATTATGTTGGTTCATCTAAGTACTCAAGCTCCAAAGCTAACATGGAGTTTGCTAGAGTTTGAAATTGTGCAATTGTACCCAAGTAGCTAGTTTACATTAGTTTGCAGTTTGCTTATCTTTAAGCTACCAAACTACTTGGAAATACTAGCTAGGTAGTGTGTTCTTAGACAATGATGATGTCGCATGAGAGATCACAAAAGGCCTCCCTCACAGCATATTTGCCACTTCTTCCCAAGCAATTGCACCAAACGAGACGGCTTCTTCCATGAATCTTTGTAAATCGATTTGCCAAAAATTTCAAGGAGCACAACCAATTGAATGAGATTTCAACATTTTGTCACAGTCCTCTGAAACGTTCGAACTTTGCTTTGTTTGTTGTGTGTATACCAATGTGAAAGAAAGAAATAGTCAAAGGAAAAGATTGAAAATAATTGTGATCTAGTATCGATAAGAAAGCGAGCGAAAGCGTAGCATAAAGGTTGGGAAATACTCTTGCGAGAAACATGTAAATTGCTATAACTCCTATCGATAACGTAATTTCGATAGCTAATGAATAGTTGAAATTGTCACCGTCGTCAAGAATGGAATTCGAGTAGTGTCCCATGGAGCTGTGGTCCCAAACGCCAGTGTTCATTTGGATCGATCCGACCCTCGCTCCCTACAAACCGAACATAGGGCAAGCAAGGGATGTTCCCCGGATATCTGTAGCAGAAACGTATTCAGTAACCAATGAATTGATCAAAATAAGACCAAGAGCCAAACTAATGCTGGGTTTATTTCGACTTTCAAAGTGGGATAACTTTTAAGGACTGTTCACGTCGACAACACCCGAGTGCAAAGGCACCTTGAGCAGTGTTTGTTTAAAAAATTGACTAAGTTCTACTTTTCCAAAAAATCACAGCGCTCTTTGTATTCCGCTAAAACACTACGGGTTGTAACGTATCCAAATTCCGAATATCTTGGGATTTATTTAATAAGCAGCTCCCAAAAGCCCCGATGAATGATGATACACTGCCACTCTTCTCTGAAACTCGGAAAAAGCAACTATTAACCGAACTTTATTCTGACTCTTGAACAATGTTTTATCGGCTATCAAAATTGGAAGAAAATAATCGTAACTCTGCTGCGAACAAATAATCAAATGAAAGCATACTCAATGGCAAATACAGTGCTAACAACAAACCAATGGAAGCTACAAAACAGATTTTTCTCCACCTGTAGCTCAGATTCAGGTACCGGGCCCATGGCCGACTCATCATTTCCCGATGAATGGGGCTCGAGCCACTCAACCCTATGCCCTGTGATCTCCAGAGAACAAACCCTTTCAGTTATGTCTCAGAGAAACGTCATATACGCATTGTTCTCCTCTCTTGTATGAACAAGATAACAAGCAAGAGGTGCTTGGGTCTCCTCCTCTATATGTTAACATGGAACAAAGGAAGAGAAGCTTTTGGGCCTTCTCTATATTTAATACAGACCTGAATAACCCTGCTCCTTTTCTGTATTTGAAGTAAAAAGGATCAAGCTTTGAATCGCGCCTTTCGTCCTTCGGCCATTGTAACACAACCGTTCATCTTGCCCTTGTTTAATTGAGAGCAAAAAAGTCAAGTCAACACCAATTTGGGAGCAGCTCCTTAGTCCTTACCTAAACGCCCTCACGCCACATTCTGTTTCGATATTAGCTTCAAACAACAACAATGCGTCGATAATCACAAAAACATCTCAACTCGCAACGCAGTTTTCCTTAACAAGACATTCAGGCAGAACTGCCCTTATCTCGTCGTGTCGTTCGATCATCCAATCATCATAATAATTTGCTCTTGACCCCTTCTAGCCCAAGATAATGATTTTCCCTGGATCACCACGGGCGAAAACCCTATAACTTCCCGAATCCCAAACAAGCTCCCCCTTTCCCACTCCTCACTTCTGACTCCTACAACACCCTCTCCACCGCGCAAGCGACTCAGGCAAGCCAGCAATCGGCCACAAACTCAGCCTCCAATGCCAAAGCAAGAATTCTGAAGACAACAGCGCAATCCCTCGATACACTCGGAATCGCAACGCCTGTGCACTCTCCGATTACACTGGCAAGCAAGTGAAAGAGTCTCCTGGCGACGGCCGAAAGTGGCGGCGAAGCAGTAGGAGCAGAGCTCCGAGGACTCGACGCGCGGTGAGGCTTTCTTGCAAGAAGGGAACACGCGCCACTCGCTGTAAGAGGATCTGAATGCTTGCTCTTGCGGTGCGTGGCAATGTCACTCTCAGGTGGCAACATGGCACTCCAACCGAGATTCGGTAACTCTCTGGTTTTCTTCGTCGATTGCGATTGGGGATCTTCGTTGTTCTTCATTGAAGCATTTGGCAGCGACGACGATTCGCTTCGAATCAAAGGGGGGTTTTTTGGTTGTAAATAAGGGTTCAATTCAAGCAAAATAGGGCCCCTATTGATCGTGTCGCCAAGACGAGGCCGTTTAGGGAGATAACAGAATAGGCCCTTTTGTTTTTGTATGCCGCTTGTGCTACTACATGGTGTAACTGGTGTTATTGCAATTGTGTCAATGTGTCTATATTGATTATTTCTTTTCGTTATAACGGTAAAGCGTCACATCTCTAATTTTATTTTTGGAGTGCTACTAATAATTATCTTGCATTATTTCCACTTTTCTCCTTGAATTCTCAAGGGTAGTGCTATTTATATGTCCATTTATTTTTGCTCTCAAACATTTCTTTCAATTTTCAACGGTTGGATCGAATGCATTAAAGAAGATTATGTGAAAAGTAAAAATTGATGTGAGAATAGAACAATCCATTTTAAATTGCAAGATTTTGCGGCCTCATGTGCTTTCGTACGTTTGCCTATCCCATTCCACATCAGTCAATAAAGTTAACGATTTTCTCGATCAACTTGATGGAATTGAGAAATTTTTATGGGTATTCAAAATACAAAGCAGTACACCACGAGTTAAAATATAAATGAAAGAAAAAATTGATATGTTCCACTTTGAAGTATAAATTTTTAATGCATCTTCACTTATATTATAACACGTAATGTTGCATTTTTTTCGAGTGCACTAAAAAATTTTGATAGGCCGGCCACAAAATGAAAGAACATGGGGCCAAATCGCACAATTACAAATTTAGAGAGGAAAGTGAAACTTTCGTAATAATACAGGGGCGCATAAACAAATAACAAGCTTACAGAACGTGGAGATAAACTCCATGAAAACACCAAAATACCCTCCGAAGAAAAAGAAAGGAAGAAGACGAAGACGCCGCCGATTTTTACAGACAGTGAGCGAACGACGGAGAGAAAGAGAGAGAGAGAGAGTGACGATGGAGAAAAGAGAGGGAGAGGCAGAACCAGAACAGAAGGAAGAGGAGGAGCAGGTAGTGAATCCATGGATGGTGTCGGCCAAAGGTGGCGGGAAAATCGACTACGACAAGCTCATTGACCAGTTCGGCTGCCAGAGAATCGACCAGTCGCTCGTCGACCGCATTCACCGCCTCACCGGCCGTCCTCCCCACGTCTTCCTCCGCCGCGGCGTCTTCTTTGCCCACAGGTCCCTCTCTCCCTCTCTCTCTCTCTCTCTTAAGTTTTCGTCTTTCTTTTTTTTTCTGGAAAAATTGCAAAAAATTGAATTGGGGGTCGAATTTCGAGTTTATGTGAAATGCAGGGACTTGAATGAGATTCTGGATGCCTACGAGAGGGGAGACAAGTTCTATTTGTACACGGGACGAGGGCCCTCCTCCGAGGCTCTGCATTTGGGGCATCTTATCCCCTTCATGTTCACTAAGTAAGCTCCCACTGCATTGTTTTCTGATTATCTGATGTTGGTCTTTTCTGAAATTTTCAATCTTTTCGGGTTTTCGTGAGTGTGATCATCGGTATCTCTATGCGTTGTGTTGGAATTGGTATTGCTCGCATGTCCGATGTGAAGTAGATTTTGAAAAGTTTATGAATTGAATTATTTATGCAGATATTTGCAAGAGGTCTTCAAGGTTCCGCTCGTTGTACAACTTACCGACGATGAGAAGTGCATGTGGAAAAATCTGACCGTGGAAGAGAGCCAGAGACTTGCCAGGGAGAATGCTAAAGACATTATTGCTTGTGGTTTTGACATATCAAAACCTTCATCTTCTCCGATTTCGACTTCGTTGGTGGGTAAGTAACAGATGTGTAGGCTTAACTCCGTTATGAAGTTAATATAGCTTCGTGTTGATATGTATGTGAGTTTATGCTTGAATTTTTTGTAACAGTTTAAGTGGGTTACAAAAGCTATTTCCTTCTCTACCCATGTTGGAAGGGTTTGAGATTTTAGAATCTTATGGAAACCCTTTTGTTTGTTGAAACTGCTTGACACTCGCGTGAGGTTCCATTTTTATCAAACCAGAATGATATGCCCTTTATAATTTAGTTGGCTGCAAACTGCTTGACAAGATACAATAATAATTAGGAAAACCTAGCAGGGTTTGATTCTGTCATGGATACTTTGTGTGTGCGCGCGCTCGTGTTGTAACACTTGCTTACTGATTTCATGTGTAATTTCCTGTGCAGTGCCTTCTACAAGAATATGGTGAAAGTTGGAAAGTGTGTCACATATAATAAGGTGAACTTTCCCCCCATGGCGAAATGTTTTCTTTGTATACCTCTTTGTTGGAGTTTTTGTAATAATTTTGTGAATTTCGGATTTAATATCCAGGTTGTTGGTATCTTTGGTTTCACTGGAGAAGATCACATAGGAAAAGTTAGTTTTCCACCTGTGCAGGTAATTTCCTTGGCTACGTTGCTTATCATATGAAGAATTATTAAATTATTGTTCATTGTTACTGACTAGTTCCACAAAACTACTGAGCTAATATCTGTTTTCTTTTTATATCTTCACTTAAACCTCACCTTCTGTAAGTTTGATTTAGCTCAATAAGTGCTTTCTCTTTCCTATGAGCTCTTATTATTGACTCGCTGCCAGTCAACTGTACAATTCTTTCACCAGTGAACATCTTTGATCTTTCATATTTTCCACCATATAAGGAAAACAATGCATTGCTTAGTCCAAGTCGAATATTGATTTTTCTGAAACCTTCAGTTTGATGTTCTGTATTGGTTATGTGACTATGTAAGATGATGTATGGATGCAAAAATGCGCTGGGATACATAATAAAGAGATCCAATATGGTCGTGTCTTAATGCAGGCAGTTCCATCATTTCCAAGTTCATTTCCACATCTCTTCCCTGGCCAAGACAATCTTCGTTGCTTAATACCTTGCGCGATTGACCAGGTATGCATGATATGGATAATTCTCAGCTAGGATATACGTGTTCTTTTTCCCTTGGCTAAATCTCTAGGGAACCACCTTACTTTAAATGCTGTACGGCACATTTTGAGGGTATCAAAGAGTTTTAATAATTTTGTGTGCTAGTTAATTTGATTTAACGTTGTTTTTCTTTCTTTTGTATTTTTCTAATACTACGGTTTATTTGTTTGTGATTTGTCAAGGATCCTTATTTTAGAATGACACGAGATGTTGCTCCACGAATTGGGTATCACAAACCTGCATTGATTGAGTCTTCTTTCTTCCCTGCCCTGCAGGTATGTTTATGATATTATGTTTTACTGTATGTAGGTTATGATGTGATTTCTGATACCTTTTCTGGAATGTGGATACTTGCAGGGAGAGACTGGAAAAATGTCGGCTAGTGATCCAAATTCTGCCATATATGTAACTGATTCTGCAAAGGAAATTAAGAACAAGGTTTACATTTGACGTTGCCGTAGTCTCAATGTCCCATTCTTCTAGCTGAAAATCACAATCCAAATGGTCCAAAAATTCTTCAAGATTAACCTAAAACAAAGAACTTGTGTGTATACGCAGATCAACAGGTATGCATTTTCTGGTGGACAAGATTCAGTAGAGAAACATAGAGAGCTTGGAGCAAATCTCGAGGTATTTGGATTGTCTCACATGTTAGTAATAGAAATGTGCCCTCCCCGATTGGCATGAGAGTGTTATTTGTTGCTGGATGTGCAACCTTCTTTCCTCATTATAGATTGTCCAAACAAGAAGGCAAATTTGCTTATCAGTCTACAATTCATGCCAATTTGATTTCATATCTTATGAGATTTCTTTGTTAGTACTTGGTTTGGTGCTTTGTAACTTATTGAGGAATTAATTTATCTTCTGGAAACTTTCAGGTAGATATTCCATTCAAATATCTAAGCTTTTTCCTAGACGATGATGATAAACTCGAAGAGATACGGAAGGTGAGACTCATCGCCCCAGTGAATTTATCTGTTTTCTATGTCAACATATTATACATCCTCTTTTTGCTAATTCACCTGGGGTGCTATTAGGAGTATGGTTCCGGGCGCATGCTAACAGGTGAAGTGAAGCAACTGCTTGTTGAAGTTTTGACGGAAATGGTAGAAAGACATCGTAGGGCTAGGGCTGTTGTGACTGATGAGGTAAGCTTTTCTAGCAATTTTAGATGATTGGCCATCCTGTAAGTTGTTATTTGTCTCTGCGTGCTGCGTGATTTTGGAAAGCAAACATGAGTTTATGAAACCCCGGTTATGGCTTAGAAGGACTTACGGAAATGTTTTTGCTTATTTTTCAGATGGTGGACGCATTCATGGCGGTGAGGCCCCTACCCAATATGTTCATCTAACGTCAAGGCAGAGAAGCTTACACACATCTTATAATCACTTCTCAAATAGAAGCTTAGCATTCAATTCTCCTACTAAATTTAGATTTAGTCACTTTTCGATTGTTGATGCTCAAATACAAAAGAAATTGGATGATAGTCGACGCGGCTACACCTGTTTTCTGTAACTGTCGCGTGAATTTGAACTCAATTTGCGCTGATTACATTGGTTTTAAGTCTGGATTTGTACGATATTTTTCGATGATAGCTGTTTGTTCACATCTATTGCAAAGTTAATGTTCATGTTACCACCATCTTCATTAACTCTCAAATGAAACAGAATTGTAAATTGCAGAATCCATACCAGAAAACACAGCTAATCCGAAAACCGACACAATGAAGTTGCAGCGTGCAGCGTTCAGCAATTCACCGGAAGTTTATGCCGATAGAACTGAGAGATGCGTATGCCTGGACATTTGTGATTCGACCTAACAGATAAACAGATTGTACTCTGCAGAAGAAAGAAAAAAAGACCGAATCCTCGTTTCGCAACTAAAGTAGTTAAAACTAAAACAGACACCAACATTACTACAACACAACTGATTCTACAGCGTTTTAGAACAACGAAAGGAAAAGAGTAACCAAAATCTAGGTTGAAGAACGATTTTAAAACAGTCTAATTCAGGTCAATTTGGTAAGGTACATTTCTTTTGAGAATGTCCTAACATATGGCAGCGACCACATTGAACAACTCGCTTCGGCCTCTTGAAGTTCTCTACACGAAGGACCTTCTTCTTGGGTCTTCCAGGTGGCCGCCGAGTCTTGGGTGGGCGTATCATGATATCAACATTGGTGCTTCCCCCCTCTGTTCCGTCGCTTGGCTCCTTCCATAAGCTCCTATCCGGAATAGGATGAATCAGCTGCGAATAGGTCTCTCGGTAACTTGCTACTGTGAAGCAAGGCTCAGCAAACAAATGGACATTGTGTCCACAGGACATAAGTGCGGCAGCAGCATGTGCACAAGGTAGACCATATATATGCCAGCGGCGACATGAGCACACGCGAGTTTGTATATCCACGATATTTGTCCGCTCAGTAGACACAATCTCAAATTCGACTTCATTTGCACGAAGTACTTGGTAGCATCTAGCATCGGCCATTGCCTCTAGAATCCGCTTCTCAGCAGATGGTACCAGAATTGATGTCCAACTCATTCCCATATCCCGGCGGTTATTATACCATGATGATAACTGATCACGAATATGCTCCATCATTTGCACAATAGGGAGCTCATGGCATTCAAGAGCCCAATTATACAACAGCTCTGTAACACCGAGAGTAAAATGGCCATATCGCACTCCTTCAAAATATGCTACAGCCCAAAGTTGGGGAGGGAAGTGTTGAAACCATGGTATCACGTCTTGTGAGATCTCTGCCATCTCTGCAATCTTGCTGTCAAATTCAACTGCAGTGAGAGCATAAACAGCATTCCAGAAGATATTCACCAACTTCGCATTTTTAAAGGTATCACGAAAATTTTCACTAACATAACGCAGACAAAAACCATGGAAGGCACTAGGAAAATGAGTTTCCACTGCCTCTACAACACCCCTTTGTCTCTCAGAGAGTATTGTTAGCCTAGGCATGTTGTCAGTGTTTACTGCAAGAAGCTTTCGCAATTCTGACATAAACCACATCCAATTTTCGTCGCTTTCCACATCAACGATAGCTATTGCCAGAGGAAATAATGTATCATCAGCATCAACAGCTGCAGCACAAAGTACGGAACCCAGGTATTTGCCTTTGAGGTGCGCTCTATCAAGTTCCAAAAGTGGCCTACAAGCATGTATAAACCCATAAATTGATGCACGGTAAGAAATGAAGAGACGGTGGAAGCAATTTTCTTGTCCAGTGGCAAAAACTGAAGCAATGCTTCCAGGGTTGGTTTTCTTTATTTGCTCACAGTATGCAGGAAGAAGGCGATACCCTTCTTCAAAAGTTCCATGAAGTGCTGCCATGCTACGTTCCTTGCCACGCCAAGCTTGCATGTAAGAAACAGCAACTCCATGCTGATCACGGATATCTTGCAGGATCTCTTTTGGTTTATACCGTGGGTTATCCCGAATCCGTGCTTCTACAGACCTAGCAACCCAACCTACTGATGCTTGCTGATGATGAAGGTTGAGAACTCCTTCACAGGTATGCTCACCATGCAGGGTTCTTACTGTAAAGGTTGGAACTCCGGGACATTTTGCCACATGGACACGCCATGGGCAACCTTCTTTGGAGCACTTGGCTATAAACCGGCTGCGATCTGATTTCACTATACGAAGATCAAAATGTTGTACTAAAGCAATGTTCTTCAATCTTCTTCTGCAAGTTTCAACATCAGGAAATTCTTGCCCAATAGCCAAGTCTAAAGCATATTCCGTCAAGGCAACAGAATCGTTCTGCACAGCTAACGAATGATCTTCCATGTATCCACAACGGTAGCAGAAGTGTCACATGATTCTAACAGTTCCCCTCATCCTGACACAGATTGATAATTCTCCACAAAGGCTGTATTGTAAACACTGCACTACATGAGACCTCCTGTTATATATGGATACAGCATGGGAACACAAGAACAAGAAGGCAGCATTTTTCTGTGTGTGCGTGTGCGTGTGCATAACTGATCAACAGGAGACTGAAATGGGAAGAATCGTACCAGTCCTAACTAATCAATACTCATCCGCGAAGGGCACCTTTAGTATAGGATAAGAGCATTTCAAGGTATATCCTTTGACCCTTTGGTGTTGATGAATTATTACCACACCTGTGAAACAAAAAAAAAAGAGTAATTTTACTAATAACTGGTATCAACTATTAAACAAATTTTGAAGACATGAAAAACCTCACTTATTGGCCTAATTGTGAAACTTTGAATCTACCAGTAAGATTTCTTGTGTTGGAGCCACATCCAACAAGCAATTCAAATGAGGGGTAATCCATTTTGATGATACTAAAACTCCCCATCACTCTTGCTCCCGTAGCAGAGTCAATTTTCATTTGCTACAGAATCTACGGATAACACGATTAAACAACCTAGTAGCGCTAACACCTCGCACATTTCTCACCCCCTCATCCTCAGACTGACGGCAAAGACAGAAACCGAAAAGCGTGGCTTAAGAACAGTCTTATCCAACACAATGTAGGTTGAATTTGAAGAACCCTAAGACCCGACTCGACTGCACAAAAGGCAAACGTCGCCGGAACAGTCCATGTGGCCATTTGAGTCAATGACTTACTGGTGATTACTTACAACGCTATAAAACTAAATCACCGATAACCCAATAAATCAAAATAGAGCATTCTGCCCCCAAAATTATTCCCAACTCAAACCCAAGACTTGAAATTTTACAAAACAACGATCAGCAACCAGAAATTCCCAAACTTTTTTTTCCAAATTACAATTTGGGAATCTCAGAACGGATCCAAACACTAATCCTCAGATCCCAATACCCCAAAAGGCTTTTCAAATAAGCACTTTTACGAAGTGGGTTCTTCTCCTTTTCAGCAATCATTGACAAACCCATTAAAATCGACAACTTGTGCTTTAATTTCTATTTGAAGTTCTGTGGGATGCGTGGATAATAAATATATGTGAGATTAAAATAGAAAATTAGAGAAGGAAAAAGAGGAAGAAATGGAAAACCTGGTGGAGGTGAGAGTGGGAAGCTGCTTCTGCTGAAAGTGCTTTTTTTTTCGCTTTTGGGTCGTCTTCGTTCTCTAATCTCCTTTGGTGGAGTCTGGCAACTCGAGGAGGAGGAGGAGGAGGAGATGGACCAGCACTTGACCGAACACTTTCGTCTTGGGTTTTACGAGCCACTGACAACAAAGCAAAACTGTCCTTATTTGTGTTTCTCACTCAAGAAAAATAAAATAAAAATATATTTTTTGTCAAAGAAAAATATATAAAAATATCATAAATTTATATTTCTCCCTTTTCTTTTTCTCATAATTTTAAATGAATTTAATATTAACTATTACTTGTATAAAAGTAATTAATTAATTGGTGTAGCAAGCAGGTTAAGTTAATTGGAGATAATATGGTATTGATTAGTAGTGCGTTGTTGGTCCATCTTTTTTAATCGAGATATTATTTAGATCTAGCAGTTTGTAGTCGAGGGATAAAAAAATTTAAATCATTCATTTTAAATTTTACGATCTCCGTTAGTTCATTTCATTGGTCCACCTCACACAAACCAAAAGTTCGAATCTCTTTCTTTGGATTACTTGATTTGTCATCTCTTGGAGAGGATGTCACTTCCATCTTTTTTAGATCTTGACATTATATTTGTTTGAACCTACTTTTGCAGTAACATGTTAAGTGCTTTTGAGATGTTTGACAATATGCGACTCGAACAATAGTTTAGATATCAAGTATTGCGTTTGAGAAGAGCTACAGATAAAAGGTTAGAACCAAGTATTCAGTGTATGATCAATATTTAGTAATCTAAATTGGGATTCTAAGTAAGGAATTATTCTAGTGAAATGTTATTGTTTATAATAGTAAACTAGATTATGTTACGATGAAAAATTTAAAGACATAGAGAAGCAATTGAACACAGAGATACAACAAAGATTTTTGCTCAATCGTCACAAGTCTTGGCTTTTCCATGAAACCGATAGTTTTATATTTCTATGACACCGAACACAAATATTACAGTAATGAAGCAATTGACTACGATCATGATAGTAGTATGTTATAATCATAGTAAGTGATCTGTAAAAATCAAAAACCTCATTCATAAGTGATATACGAGGCTACGGTCATGATGTTATGATTGTAGCCTTGCAGGTTGAGGTAGCCGCCTCCCCCCTAAACTTTTAAAAACCAACAAGGAAAATACCTTTTTGGTTCTAAATTACAAACTCAATAATATTTTTGAAATTACAGAGACGATAATATCTACTGCCACTTGATATCTACATCCTTTTGGGCCTGATTTCAATCCCTTGAAACAAGAGGCCACCCTTCCAGTTTATACGCCTAACCTCTAAGCAAGCCATCTCCAACTCTCCACCTTCACCCCCCTCACAGAAGAACACCCCCATCTCTATCTCCAGCCACCCGTCGTTGCGCTCTTTCGGGTACTGGGCCTCATTGACCTTGATCTCTCTGAGCTGAAAATCTTGGACTCCCACAATGTATCTCCGGTTGAAGACGCTAATACGCAGAGGCCCGGCCAAGGGAAAGCTGGGGCCTTGGGAACCAAGGCCTCTCTGAGCGTTCAAAAACACCTCGTTTTTCGTGGGCTCCTCCCCAATTAAACCGACTGTGACCTCCACAGGTTGTTGGTCAAATCCATAAGCCCCTGTAGTTGGCTTGAATACAAGATAAGCTTTATAAAGGGTGGCCGGGGACAGCATCCGTGTCTCAATTTTGCCACGGATTTCAAGCCAACACACACACATAAGCTTTGCCACCTCCTCAAACCTGTTTGCTTATTACAATTAAATTTATACTCAAAATTTAATCTCTGAGCAACCAATAACACATAGTCTATGCAATAAAAACATGAAAACGTTATCGCACTCCAAAAAAATCATCTGCAATCCTCAATTCCGAGGAATGGGTGTAGAAAAAATGACTATTTTGGAATGCTAATAAGATAACAATTCCTTGGAAAGGAAGAAGAACGAAATTTGAGACCTCGAGTCGGGGAGAGAAATCCATTCCCAGTATTGAGGAGTGTCGCCCCAAACGATCGAAAGTGCCCTTGCAGCAATCATATAGCATTTCTTCCCGCTCCATCTGTCCAGTGAAAAGCTCTGCATGATCATGCAAATTAACACTCAGGATCTTAGACCAGTTAAAAATAGAAAGCGCTATACAAAAAAATAAAAAATAAAAAAAACCTTAAACCGAGGGAATGCATTCCAATTTCTAACTCATTTTTTCTAGCCCTTCTTCGTATTTCTTCGAGTAAATTGTAACAATGGTCCCTCAACTTTAATCAAATTGGAGTAATGGTTCTTTAACTTTAATCAAATTGGAGCAATGATCCCTCAACTACAAATACATTACCATTGGTCCCTCAATTTATCAAAATGTGTAGCTATAGTCATTTTCATCAATTTCGTCAAAATTTTGTCAAAATAAGTTACGTTGGAATAACCATTTATATAATTAGGGTCCCTTAACTCATCAAAGTGTGTAATTATGGTTATTTTTGTCAACTGAATCAAAAAATTTGTCAAAACGAGTTATGTTGGAAAAACTATTGCTATAATTGAGTTAAAATTAAGAGACCATTTCTCTAATTGAATTAAAGTTGAGGGACCATGGTAATCGATTTTTAGTTGAGGGACCATAGTTGCAAGTTTTGATTAATTGAGGGACCAATGGTAATGAATTTTTAGTTAAGAAATCATTGCTCCAATTGAGTTAAAGTTAAAGAACGACGGCTACAATTTATTCTTCTTCTAATGCTAAAAATAATTGAACACTAGGGGTTTTAAAGCTATTCCTTCGACCATCTGCACGTCAAACTGAATATTGCACCATTTTTTCCTGTACTTGCGAAATAAAAACGAGCGCCAAAATCACTACTTTGTATTTTTTTTTTTTTAAAAAAAAAAACTAAAAACTGCAAACGAAACGATTATCAAAACGAGCTCTAAACTCGAATAAATCCCACAAAAGAATAGGAGATAAGGGAAAAAGTAGTGAAATTACCAACTTTCCCTGTTCGATGAGAACAGGGTTGTCGCATAGAGCGAGGTAAAGCTCCTTCTTGGTTTTGGAAGCGGAGGAGGGAGACACATGCGGCGGATGTACGGACATGGAGGGTGACGAGGAGGACAGGATCGTGTGGATATCGGGTGGAAGGAACCTGTCCCAGACGGTGTCGGATTCCGCTGCCGACCTGAAACTCCTCGAAACCGACGACAACGTGCCTGCGTCTCGAGGCGTGGTCAGCGAGACAACGGTGGCTATGCACCCTTCCGGCAAGGCCTGCAGATCCATGTGATCGGTCGTCGTCACGGCGATTCCTCCGCCTCCGACATTATCCGTTTTCTACTGGTTCTCCTGGTTTCCGCCACAGCCTAAGAATAACTTCAACATTTCCTCGGATAAATGAAAAACACGTTGTATTTTGTTTTCGTATTTTTACTGGTTGCTACGTGGTGTTTGGCTGTGTATTTATAGAGAGAGGAAAGCTTAGCCGTTAAGTCTTGGTTCTCTTTCCCGCTGTGAAAAAAAGGTGTCAGAATCCCCCGAATAGATATATTTATATTTATTGTCACAAAGGGACAAATATCCTCTACAAAGGATTTGGATCCTCTCCTGAACTAATAAAGAGGATCCTCATCAATCATTATGAGCTGTTGAATTTTTATCAAACGGTTACAAATGGGGAATTCTTTTAAAGTTATAATAATTATAGCCGTTAGATGAAAATCTAACGGTCCACAATAGCTGGTCAGGAAGATCATTTTCATTGGCTCAGTAGATGATCCAAATCCCTCTACAAATCTTCTTTATGGGATCTAGAAATCAATCAATCTTGTTTGTTCATTATACATTGTGCAGTCAATTTTCGTTAAGTACTATTTATATTTAATTTTAAATTTAAAATTTAAAATAATTTCTAACCACATAATATACGATGAGCAAACATGAATGATTAATCATCCGGACCCCCACAAAGAAAATCCAAAGCGGATCCTATTCCGTCACAAAGTAATAAGAGCAGTTTAATTAACACCCCATAATCTTACGAAAACATCTCAAACTTTTATTTTGTACGATAAGAAAATACAAACACCCTATTCCACGTGTCGCCAGCCAACCACCGCAGAAAATCTGAAGCAAAAAACCAACCTCTCACCAAGGCACCATATCTCCTCTCTCTCTACAATCCCCGACAACTTGCACGTACTTCTTCAACCCTATTTGGAATTTTGGATGGTTGGTGAAGTTTGGCAATAAGAAATCTGGAGACGGTGGGGGGCGAGTTAGGACGTTGGACGACAGACTTTCGTGACACAGACGGGTTGGATGGATGATCGACAACTTCTACAACTGACGTGATGGGGTTGAAGGGTTATCTGGTTGGAGGAGTTGAGGTGGTGAGTTTTGGACAAGGATTGTCAGCCCTCATACTTTCGGTGCTCTCCCGTGCCCTCCTATTTTATGTGGTCACGGTTAAGCCACGTTAACATTTTATATTATTTTTTTATAGAGATAATAAGATAAAAATAAATTGTAATATAAAATGTTGACGTAATTTAACCGTGATCATATAAACAGGAGGGCATAGAAGAACACCGAAAGTGGGAGGGCAGAAAATCTTTGTCTGTGAGCTTTTACTAAGGAAAACTAATGAAAAGGGCTTGAAAACTTTGAGTTTTAATGATAAGGACAAAATAAAGAGTAAAGTGAATAGTACCAAGATTGACTTTTTGTGTAAAAATGTGGTTTTTCGTTAAAATGAACAGTACCGGGTGTTTTTCGTTAAAGTTCCCTTTTTACTAACGGTATGGGAGTTGTCAGCTGTGCCAATGTCAATGACAGAGGTAGGTATTCAAACACAGGTGGCCATCAAATTGGGGCTTGTTTGGCGTTGGCTTCTTTACGGTGGTGTGGGTGTCTTCAGAAAAATGAGGAACAAAGTTGGAATTATCGAGAATCTTTAGAGTATTTCGATAAAAAATGTGAGGTATCATCACTTAATGCTAGTAATATTTCTCTTCACTTGTAAGCGAGAGATTTTAGATTCGATTCTCGTCAAAGGTGAATGAATCCTATTATTGTTAGTCTATTATAAAACTTAGCACACTCTCTTACCCCTCATATGGACAATCGTTGTTAAAAAACAGAAGAGCTTTATCCTCATCAGCAGGCATAGTGGACTACAGTTACTTTAGCTTTGACTAAACAGATTTTGAGCACAATTATTAATTTACTAAGTTGTTTTATGGACACTTCACTTTTGTTTTTTTTTAACTAACAATATTATCGATATTAAGAAGTGAGGGAGTGAGTTTTGAGATCACAATATGCTAGCAATAATGTGGTTCAAATTCACCTTTGGCGAATCGAATCTAAAACCTCTTACTTATATATGAAGAGAAATATCACAATAAAATTTTCTTTTACACCAATTATCTAAGCCTTTGGATTCATTGAAAAACATGAATAAACACATGCAAACAAAAGGAAATCAAATTACCTGTTCGAGAATCCCTTACCAGATTATACTATCTCTTTGTCAAAGAAAATGACGATGGGAAAAAAATAAAATAAAAAGAAAAAGAGGGTTTAAATTTAATACAACACAAAAAGATTAGGATGGGGGAAGAATATGAATACGATGAAGCAAGCATGTGGGGTGTTTTTGACGATGAAGCAAGCATGTTTGGTTTGCATTGCTCCCTAATTGCGACCACGCATGTCACAATCCTTGTACGCCGCTAGAAATTTGTTAGTGTGTACAACATACGGTTTGGCACACTAAAGTGTCTTAATACAAGTAGTTAAAAATTTTCTTTTAAGTATTTATATTATGACACTTATTGTACCAAGTCGTGTACTCACAGTACTCTTACTCTTTTTCTACACTTTCGTTTCGTCACCTTTGCTTTGCTTTTAGAGTCGGAAACGCACTACACTTCTTTGTACTTTCTATTTTCCACTTCACTCCCACATGCTTACTTGTTACCTCAATATAAAATCAAAAGTAATGTAAGATGTTAAAAGGAAAATATTAAGCATATGTGGATTAAGTCAGACGATCATATAATGTATTAATTTTTGCATATTTCCTGTTAGAATCACTTTGTGTGGTGTCAAACCGCACTTGGAAAGTTTTACACTAGCCAGAGGATCTTTAATTTTCTTATTACAACACCAAAATAATTCTATGTTCGTTTGGAATTCATTCTCCACACCATTAGTTAAAGTAGTTAATAATATAAACTTGTCAAAAATATGTTGAAAATACCTAAGAAGACTTGGTCTAGTTGGTAAGAATTGGTCATTGAGGAATGGGCGTCATATGTGTTGTCCCTTTTGGTACGATTAAGAGGTCGTTGTTGTGGCTTGTTGAAAACTTGACAGGTGGAATACAAGTTTTACACGAGTCTCTTCAATTTTTATTTCATTTATACAAAAGCACGATTGATAGTGCAAGGGAATCATCATTTAGAGTTTGGATTTTACGATTCTAGTCTTAAATTGGTTAATCGCTTTGATTTTTCGTTTTAAAGGGAACTCTAAATGGCCATTTATATCATAACTAAATAATTAGGATTAAAATCAAAGAAAATAGAGTAAAAGTAGAGTTTTTCTATACTTATTTTCTATGTTTAAAAAAAACAAGACGTTATGCACATAAACTTAACCAATTAGCGCTTAAGGTGTTATAAGTAAAATTTATTTTAACGAGGCTCCCTTGACCTAAGAGGACACCCATCAGTCCAATCACACTCTCATTAGGATTTAAATTGCATTGAAGAGTACTAATACGCTCCTCAATCTATAGCATACTGCTAATACAAGTATCTAATCCAATTATCTTACTCATTTTTAGGTTTAAAGATCTTATTAAAAACTGCCAATTAAAAACAGTTATACAGAAGAAATGGAGTTGGAACTAAAATGGCAACACAAGGTCAAATAAATAAGGGTTAAGTAGGAATAATGATCTACTCTTTAAAGGTAATTTTACATTGTTCCAACCTTATAGAGCATTCCAAATAACCACCTAAAGTTTTGATAAATATATATCGTTAGGTCATAGGTGTAAAGTGAGACGTCATTACCGTTAATTGACAATGTAATTAATGTTAAGGGATAGTATGGATAAACATTGGAACTAAGTTTCACTCTCACGTCATTTATACAACTCTAAATCCCCAAACTGATAGCTCAAAGTAAGAATAATGCTTGTAACAGTATATTAGACTATGCTAAAAGTTTATACATATGAAGCGATTGAACACAAAGATCACAAAGATTTGTGCTCAATCGAACACAAACATTACAACAAATGAAGCAATTGACTAAGAAATTGACATGACTCACTTCAATTGCAACATTTAGCATATGAAATTAGCTCAATTATAATATTTTGAAAATTAAAAGACAGTAATCTACCGGCACTTGATTCTTACATCCTTTTGGGTCTGATCTCAATCCCTTGAACAATGAGGCCGCTCTTCCAGTGTCTACCCTTTGTTTCCAAGCAACTCATCTCCAACTCCCCACCTTCACCTCCTTCACAAAAGAACTCCCCCATCTCTATCTCCAGCCATCCGTCGTTGCGCTCTTTCGGGTACTGGGCCTCATTGATCTCCCTGGGCTGGTCTAGAATGTATGTTCGGCGAATACCCCGAGGCCTGGCCATGTGATAGCCCTGGCCTCGGGTCTGGACTCTCCGAGCGCCCAGAAACACATTTTGATTCGTGCGCTGCTCCCCAATTAAACCCACTGTGACCTCCGCAGCGCGGTGCTCAAATCCATAAGCCTGTGCAGTTGTCTTGAATACAAGATAAGCTTTGTAAAGGGTGGATGGGGACAGCATCCGTGTCTCAATTCTGCCATGGATTTCAAGCCAACACACATCCACAAGCTCTGCCACCTCCTCAAACCTGTTTGTTTAGTATAATTAACTTATACTCAAAATTTAATCTATGACCAACCATAACACATAGTTTATGCAATAAAAACATGGAATCATCTGCAGTCCCCGAGGAACGGGCGCAGAACAAATGACTATTTTGAAATGCTGATAAGGTAACAATTCCTTAGAAAGGAAAAAGAATGAAATTTAGAGACCTTGAGTCGGGGATAGAAATCCATTTCCAGTACTGAGGAGTGTCGGCCCAAACGATGGAAAGGGCCCTTGCAGCAATCATATAGCATTTCTTCCCACTCCATTTGTCCAGTGAAAAGCTCTGCATTATCATGCCAATTAACACTCAGGATCTTTGAAAAGAAAAGACAAAAACCAAACCAATAGAATGCATTCTAATTTCTAACTCAGTTTTTCTAGTCTTTCTGCAAGACATTTTTTAGTGTGACCATCACACGAGGCGGTACGGTGGAATATGTGTTAAATGAAATATGTGTGTTAAAAAGTTAATAATTTTAAATTTTAAATTTTAAATTTTCATAAATGTACTATCCGTATTTCCGTCACAACTAAAATTTTCTCCTTTATTTGGTCACTTTTCTAAATATTCACACCAACAAATGTACACTAGATATTTGGTCCCACCGCTTACTCACTCTCTCCCCGGCCAACAACAATACTTACGATCTTTCCGGCCCCCAAAGTTTCAGACTTGGTACTTTCCGATTCAAGATTCGAACTTAAAACTTTTGACTTATGAAGTCCATCTCGTGGATGAATAACGATTTCGATACCAAAATACATTCTTTATTGTGAGGCTTAGTCGATCTCCACATCTCTTAGTGTAATATATCATTGTATAAAAAAAATATTAAGATTAAAAAAGAAAAAATTAAAAACTATTTTCTTGAATTTTCAAACACTAAGCGGAAGACTAAAATCTAAATAATTATCAAACACCTCTTAAAATCAAATAAATTCCACAAAACAAGAGAAAATGGAGAAAAGTAGTGAAATTACCAACTTGCCCTGTTCGATGAGAACTGGGTTGTCGCACAGAGCGAGGTAAAGCTCCTTCTTCGTTTTTGAAGCGGAGGAGGGACCCACGTGCGGCGGCTGTACGGACATGGAGGGTGACGAGGATGACAGGATAGTGTGGATATCGGGGGGAAGGAACCTGCCCCAGACGGCGTCGGAATCCGCTGCCGACCTGAAACTCCACGAAACCGAGGACAACGTGCCCGCGTCTCGAGGCGTGGTCAGCGAGATAACGGTGGCTATGCACCCTTCCGGCAAGGCCTGCAGATCCATGTGTTTTCTTCTGGTTCTTGTAATTTGTTTAGACATGTTTTCTGATTGCTAGCGGTGGTGGTTTATATAGGGAGGAAAGCTTAGCCAGGAAGCTTAGCCCTTAATTCTAGTCGGTGAAAGGATAACGTTATTATAATCTTATATTTTTATTAATATTTATAAACTTTATTATATTACTATTAATATTTATATTTTTATAACTTTGACATTAATTATTTGATATTTTATGAGATTTATAATCTTATAAATTTAAAATTCCTCATTATAATACTATTAGAAACGATTACAATAAAAAAATTCAAACATTTTGATTGAATAAATGGATAAAAACTATGTAAAAATAAAAAATAATAAATAGCAAAAGAATGTATCCATAGTGTTAAAAAAATTGGTACATTTTACAAAAAAATTGGTACATTTCACATATAACAAAGTGGTACATTAATAAAGAAGAATGTGTACATTATAAATAAATTAGGATACAGATAAAAAATTAAAAATTATGAGTACAAGTGAATTTTTTAAAAATATAGGCGCTAAAAAAATTAATACATGGGTACAAAATAAAACTAAAAAGAAAATACTACAAATTTAAAAATAATGTTGCAAATTAAAAGTGGGTACAAACTAAAAATATAAATATATGATACAAAGTTTAGGCATAAAATATAAATACACCATATGTAATTTTTCTATCATTGAATAAATATATAACGTCATGTGACGGTATAGATATGGTACAAACACAAACAAAACTTTAAAAAATATATACACAAAAAGAAACTAATATATGGGTACAAGTTAAAAATGAAAAAAAAAGGCAATAATATAATTTAATAAAGTAAAATTTTATTATTTTTTATTTAAACATCATCAACAGACGAAGGTGATTTTAATCATTAAATTTTTTTTTTAAACTTCTTTTCCTCTCTCCCACGCTCACGTTCTCTCTTTTATTCTCTCTTTCTAGCATTTCTACTTTTAAAAAGCGCAATTTGGTTGGAAAAATGAATAATGTTACGAAGACTAAATTTATAGATAAAATTTACAAAGTAAATAATGTGTCACTAATAAAAATAACATATTTATCAACGCTTAAATAATAATCAAATCATCAACTTCTATGTCATTTAATTAAGTTAAATCCTTTATCTAGTTAAAAAGAATCAGTTTCGAGATTTAGATTTGTATAAGTGACATGAGAGTGAAATCTTGCTTCCATACTTGTCAAGAACATCACTTAACGCTTATGATCTAACCAATGTTCAGTTTTTAAAACTTTATGCATCACTTAATGCTGGTGGCCGAACGAATATTCAACTTTTAAAACTTTAGGTACTTGTTGTTATAAACTAAACCCATAAGTTGACATTGTATGGATTTGAACTTACTTTTGCAGCAACATGTTAAGTGGTCTTTCTTTGCTTTTGGGCTCACGTAATGGTGGCTCATACCATAGTTTTAGTAACATTGTCGGCTTGAACGAACTTGATTGAAAAATGAAAAGAATGCAACTTTAGGGCAACAATTTTCTCCTTAGGGGCGAACATGTTTAATGTAGCTCAAAGTAAGAATATCGCTTATAACAGTATATTAGATTATGCTAAAAGTTTAGACATACGAAGCGATTGAGCACAAAGATCATAAAGATTTGTGCTCAATCGAACACAAACATTACAACAAATGAAGCAATTGACTAAGGACATTGACATGACTCACTTCAATTGCAACATTTAGCATTTGAAAACAGCTCAATTATAATATTTTGAAATTATAAAGACAGTAATCTACCGCCACTTGATTTCTACATCCTTTCGGGCCTGACTTCAATCCCTTGAACAATGAGGCCGCTCTTCCAGTGACCATTTGTCTCCAAGCAACTCATCTTCAACTCCCCACCTTCACCCTCTTCACAGAAGAACTCCCCCATCTCTATCTCCAGCCACCCGTCGTTGCGCTCTTTCGGATACTGGACCTCATTGATCTCCCTGGTCTGGTCTTGGGCCTCAGTGATCTCCCCAATTAAACCCACTGTGACCTCCACATCGCGGAGCTCAAGTCCAGAAGCCTCTGCAGTTGTCTTGAATACAAGATAAGCTTTGTAAAGGGTGGATGGGGACAGCATCCGAGTCTCAATTTTGCCATGGATTTCAAGCCAACACACATCCACAAGCTCTGCCACCTCCTCAAACCTGTTTGTTTAGTATAACTAATTTAGTACTCAAAATTTAATCTATGACCAACCATAACACATGGTTTATGCAATAAAAACATGGAATCATCTGCAGTGCTCAATTTCGAGGAACGGGCGCAGAACAGATGACTATTTTGAAATGCTGATAAGGTAACAATTCCTTAAAAAGGAAAAAGAATGAAATTTAGAGACCTTGAGTCGGGGATAGAAATCCATTTCCAGTACTGAGGAGTGTCGGCCCAAACGATTGAAAGGGCCCTTGCAGCAATCATATAGCATTTCTTCCCACTCCATTTGTCTAGTGAAAAGCCCTGCATTATCATGCCAGTTAACACTCAGGATCTTAGAGCAGTGAGAGATAGAAAACGCTACAAGAGAAAAGAAAAGAATAAAAAACAAACAAACAAACAAACCAACCAAACCAATAGAATGCATTCTAATTTCTAACTCAGTTTTTCTAGCCTTTCTTTGGAGAGATTTTTCAATGTGACCGTCACACGATGCGTAACATCACATTCTAATTTCTAAATGGTGGGATATGTCTGTTTTTAAAATTTTCTACCGCTTACATAAAAATACGTAATGTACCATTTGTATTATTTTCATAACTAAAATTTTTTCCTTTGGTCACTTGTTCTAAATATTCACACCAACAAATGTACACAAAATATTTGGTCCCACCGCTTACTCACTCTCTCCTCGGCCAACAACAATACTTACGATCTTTCCGTCCGATACAAGATTCGAACTTAAAACCTTTCATTTATGAAATTTATCTTGTTTGATACCATAGTAGATTGTCCTTGTAAGTCTTAGTCGAGCTCCACGTCTTTTAATGTAATATATCAATATATAAAAAAATATGAAGATTAAAAAAGAACAAATTAAAAACTATTTTCTTGAATTTTCAAAAACTAAGCGGAAGACCAAAAACTAAACAATTATCAAACAGCTCTTAAAATCAAATAAAATCCACAAAACAAAGAGAAAATGGAGAAAACTAGTGAAATTACCAACTTGCCCTGTTCGACGAGAACTGGGTTGTCGCACAGAGCGAGGTAAAGCTCCTTCTTGGTTTTGGAAGCGGAGGGAGCCACATGCGGCGGATGTACGGACATGGAGGGTGACGAGGAGGACAGGATAGTGTGGAGATCGGGGGGAAGGAACCTGCCCCAGACGGCGCCGGATTCCGCTGCCGACCTGAAACTCCTCGAAACCGAGGACATGGTGGCCGCGTCTCGAGGCGTGGTCAGCGAGATAACGGTGGCTATGCAGCCTTCCGGCAAGGCCTGCAGATCCATGTGTTTTCTTCTGGTTCCTGTAATTTGTTTTGATATGTTTTCTGATTGCTACGTGGTGGTTGTTTATATAGAGGGGAAAGCTTAGCCATTAATTATAGTCGCTGATGAAAGCTTAGCCCTTAATTATAGTCGCTGCAAATAGACACGGCAGTGGTGATATTTACATGTTAACAAAACTTTTCTTTTGTCAATCGACCCGCCTTATCTGTCCTTCAATTTTCATACATTCTTATCATCTTTTATTTGTGCAGTCACAGTTAAGTTACGTCAACATTTTATGTTACTATTACTTTTTTTATTTTATTATCTTTATAAAAAAAACAATATAAAATATTAACGTGTCTTAACCATTACCGTATAAAATAGGAAAAGATGGATGTGTATGAGAAATAGAAAGGCAGATAAACCAGGTCCTTTGTCAATTATAGGGCGAAAAGATGTTTAGTCTTTTATCGCAACATCTAAATTATATGTTAATATAATTTTTTTTTGTTAAGTCTTTTATCAAAACAAAAAATTAGACAATAATGTAATTTAACAACACAAAATTTTGTTATTTTTTTATTTAAACATCACTGATTTTAATCTTTCAATTTTAAAATTCAAAAAAAAAGAAAAAAAAAAAAAAAGAAAAAAAACTTCTTTTGCTTTCTTCCACCTCACTTTCTCTCTCTTATTCTCTCTTTCAAGCGCTTCCACCCTTAAAAAAATGAAATGTGGGTTGAAAAATAGATAATGTTATAGAGATTAATTTTGTAGATAAAATCTACAAATTAAATAATATATCATCAATAAGAATGAACATGTTTATCAACGTTTAAGTAATAATTCAATCATCAACTTCTATGTCATTTAGTCAACTTAAACTCTTTGTCTAGTTAAAAGAAATCGGTTTCGGATTTTAGATTTGTACAAGTGACATGAGAGTGAAATCTTGCTTCAATACTTGTCAAGGTCACCACTTAACGCTGATGACTTAACAAATGTTCAATTTTTAAAAAGAAAAACTAATGAAAATAGCTTAAAAATTTTGAGTTTTAACGATAATGACAAAATAAAGAGTAAAGTAAATAGTACCAGGATTGAATTTTTTGTGTAAAAATATAGTTTTTTGTTAAATTAAACAGTATCAGGAGATTTTCGTTAAAATTTTATTTTTAAAACTTTATGCAGTTGTTTGAAATGTTTTAAATATTAAGACAAATTTAAAAGCATCCCAAAAGGTTGGATAGTTACGTGAACTTAACCCAATAAATGATTACTGTCCTTAAAATAACCGCTGATAAAAATTCCTGGGCTGTAGACCCTCCATCTCTAGCCTGTCTTTTAACTAAAATTCAATAAAATTCCCACATTTTTCTCTCCATAGTTTTAAAAGGCCAGACACATCCCCTCACATCTCCACCTTTTTCTGAGAGAAGTCTAACGAAAAATCTCACATTTTCTAACCCCCAAAACCGTGCAAATGCATTGCCTCCCATTTCTCCTTCTACCAAGTTGTTAGTTTTTTTTTTTTTGGTTTTTTTCCCCTCCAAACTGCAATTAGCTAACCCCGCCCCACCTCCGGGGTCCTCCTCCTTCAATACTCCCGGAGGACCCTGATCCGCTCCTCCTCCTCTATGCGCCTTCGTTTGTTTCTTGTCAAACAAGATTGGAGTTTGACCTACATTTTTTTCTTTATAACTTTTTGCTAACTTGATTAATTTTCTGGAAAAAGACTGGCGTTGTAATATTTAACTACATTCTGAATTATCTAGCAAGCATTCAACCGTTCGCCAAAGTTTCTTCTGTAAGTTGAAAGGAGGTTTGTGAATATATCAAAGATTAGTCGGAAGACATGAGCTGCTTTCCGTGTTTCGGCTCACAGAGAAGTAAGAGATCAAATAGCAACAAGAGATTAGAGAATGCCTCCTCTCCTCCTCCTATCGCGCAAGGTAAGTCTTCGTTTTTATTCTTTCTTTCATTTTTCTCAATCTTTGGTTATAAATGATTTCGAAACAATGAAATGAAGACATATACATATGAAAGGTATATGTGAAGTATGAAGTTTGAAAATATCAAGTACGATCGTTACAGAAATCGCGTAAATATTACGCGTAAAGATGAATGCATGTCTAAATTACAATGCCTTCACAATTTTTAAGTTTCTCAAAAGGTATTAGAGGAGGTTTACCATGACTCGTGACCATATTTTTGCGTTGCTATCCGTTGTGGTATCAATCTGTAAATTGCTATAGCTAGCTACAAAATGTGGACTGTCGAAAAAGAATCAATTAGGGTAGTCATACACTACACGTAGAAACTAATGCAAAACAATGATTGACAATGCTGTCAAAAGGTATTGGAAAGGGCCTAAAACCCTATCGCTTTTCTGCAGAATTGAAGAAACAAAAACCCGCAGAGGCCACCGGGGGAGTTAACCCAAAAGATATTAATGCAAAGACTTTCACTTTCCGTGAGCTCGCCACTGCAACAAAGAATTTCCGGCAGGAATGTCTTTTGGGGGAAGGTGGATTTGGAAGAGTCTATAAGGGAACCCTTCAGTCGAGCGGGCAGGTTATAAACACTTTCAGTTTCTCTTGCATATTTTGGTTTTAATGAAGACTTGCTAATGAGTAATGAAATTATGAGACTTGATTTTTCCAATCTTGATTATAGGTGGTGGCGGTGAAGCAACTAGACAGACATGGAACGCAAGGGAACGAATTTCTTGGGGACGTTTTGACGCTAAGCCTCCTACACCATCCAAATCTGGTTAACCTAATTGGATATTGTGCTGATGGAGATCAAAGACTTTTGGTGTATGAATTCATATCCGGGGGTTCTCTAGATGATCGTGTTCTGGGTACGTGCGCAACCCTCCCTTTTTCTACTGGTTTCCTGATTTAGAACCCCTTTATCAGCTGCTTAACTTTGGATATGAACAAAACTATGTGTAGGCAATGTACCAGATAACAAGCCATTAGATTGGTACACCCGAGTTAAAATAGCTTATGGTGCTGCTTTGGGACTGGAGTACTTGCACGAAAAGGCCAATCCCTCTGTTGTCTATCGAGATTTGAAATCTTCGAACATTTTGTTAGACGAAGAATTCAATCCAAAGCTCTCAGATGTTGGACTTGCCCAGCTTGGCCCTGAGGGAGATAAGATGCATGGACCATCAAGATTGATGGGAACCTATGGTTTCTGTGCTCCTGAGTATTCTAGATCAGGTGAAGTCACAATGAAGTCGGATGTGTACAGTTTCGGAGTTATTCTTCTGGAGCTCATTACCGGAAGAAGAGCTGTCGACACTACAAGGTCAAATGATGAGCAAAATCTAGTATCTTGGGTAATTATCTTATCATTTTCACCTATCTAATACGTCTCTTTAATTGACCTAATGGTTCTCCCGTTTCTCTTTCTTCACTCCCCTTGTTTCTGTCCCTTGACCTAGTGATTTTCACTCTCGTTCACCATTACCATCATGTGTAACTTCGTTCTCATTTTCATGTGTGTGAGCAGGCACAACCCTTATTCAGGGACCCAAAAAAGTATCCTGATATGGCAGATCCTCTTCTTAACAAGCAGTTCCCGGAAAAGGATCTAAATCAAGCTGTTGCAATGGCATCCATGTGTTTGCAAGAGGAGGCAGCAGTCCGTCCCTTCATGAGTGACGTTGTGACTACTCTAAGTTTTCTTTCCACAACTCCTCCTCCTGAGGCTGTCCCTGCTTCTCTTCCAGCTGATCCAACCCCAACTGAAAAACGTGAAGAGAACAATGATGAATCAGAATGTGTTTCCGAATATTCAGAAGACGATAATTCTGATGCTGCAGGAGATTATGATGATGAAGACCAGGAGGCTTCTGATCAGGAGAGTATCAGAAATTCAAAGAGCAACCGCCGTAGTGTTGACATTTCAGAAGGTGAAGGTAGCGAAGATGAACGCCGAGTAACTGTTACAGAATCCAAAGAATGGCATTCATTTACAAGGGGCAGCATGATATCACGGAACGACAGTGTTAATTCAAGTGACCAGAGCAGCAAGGGTGGTAATAATCTGGATGGTAATTCAAACCAAGTGAGCAGCAGTCAATCCAAATATGCAAGTGTTTCTTCTAGAAGCAGCAGCAGAGGGTCAACAGAAGAAACCGTTTCCACTAGCAGAAAGAAAAAAGCATCACAAAAAGAAACTGCTACTGTCACATTAGGCGGCAATAGCAGTACCGAGGAAAAATCATCAGAAGGCGGAAGTGTTTGCACAGATGATCAGGATCAGGAAAACAGAAGCAGCAAAGTACCACAACTACCACCAGTACTGAAAGATGGAAAAGATTCTGTAGTCCAACACAGAAACAACAACGGATCGCAGGATTTTAAATCATCGAAAAAATGTCAATCCAATCACTACTAAATTGTCTCTAACTTGCACATACATTTGAACATGAGATTTTTTTTTTTTGTTTTGTATGGACGAGCCATGCATGGCTTTTGTCCTTCAAAGATAGTGAACGAGAAGCATTGCTACGAAGGTGTCCTATTGAGATGCAAAAGTACTTTGGTAGAAGGAGAAAGCGCATGAGGCCAAGAATTTTATGATGTGCTAGCTTCTCTCTCTCTTTTTTTTTTTTTCTTTTTTTTTTAAAGATTTCGATTATACTTCATTTTGAAGACTTCTGTATCGTCTTTCTTCATTTCATATACCCATAAACTAAGAGAGACAAACCGAAAACAAACAAAAGAACCTACTTAATTATGGCTGGCTTCAGATAAGAAATTAATGTATTTACCAATGGGTATCTTTAGTAGAATATTTAAAGCTGAAACCTTAATATATAAGTGAAAAATATAGTAGTAAGGCTCAAAACGGTACTAAAAGGGGGTTCCATCCTCAAAAATATCAATGGAGAGTTTTACATTAATTTTCAAAACCTCATGGTGAAGCAAAAGTGAAAACAAATAGATTCAATGACGATTTTTGTACAAATTTACAAAACTGACTAAAAACTGTGTAAACCCATGTTTTTGTAAATATTGCAATTTGTTTTATTTATATTCTAGAAGTATTTTCTTTGAGCATCAAGGAAAAATTTATAAGGCGTTTGGAAGTGATTTTACGATTTATTGAGCAATAAATGTATATTTAGTAGAATATTAAAGCTAAAATCTAAAAACTATAAGGATTTTTAAGTGGTTTTACTATTATTGAGCAACAAATGTAGATTGCACAAAGCGGTGACATGAAAAGGATTATACTTACCTCCGCGCTCTTACATTCACGAGTTTTACGTATGGAGTTGCCAAGTTGAATATATGGATCAACATAGTCTTGTAAATTAGCTTTTACAACAATTTACTCTGCCAACCAGTAAAACCAATTGGAAACATATATAGCTAGCTCGAGAGAAAAATAACCTGTAATATCAGCTTACATTCTGCAAAAATAAATAAATTACAATATGGTATAAACAAGAAGCAAGAAGCTGACCGTTTCATAACACTCAACTATCTTAGCTTCCTCAGCGGAAGAGTTTTTCCAAACAGTTTTCCTACTTCACCAGCTTCCATTTTTAGCTCGCTCAGCAGATCCATCTCTTCTTTCGAAAGACCTCTCAAGAAGTTCTCCTCGTCTTGTTTAAGCACGTTAAACCCTTCTAGTAACTTTTGAAACAATGTCAACTCAGTCTGTTCGACCTTTTCAACTTCCCCTTCTATCTGTTTAACTTCCTCTATAATGGTCCTTTCCCCTTCTTCAATTGTCTTTTCCAACCTCTCTACGAGCGGAGGCTCAGGTCCACAAGTATTGTCTGTTCGGATAAACTTGCTGAAGTCCCTTCCCACACTTTTAGCTGCTCTTTCAAGTTCGGGAACAATACTTTCTGGCAAAACTGAACTCCTTGTGTATACAACAGCACCACCATATCCATCCCATGCGTCATTTCTTCCACGGTAGTACACAAAAATGTAGTCATCCGGTGTGTTTTCTATCTTAGACGATAGAATATACCTGCATAAGTCATACATGTGTTCTCATGTGGTTTTTGGGTTTATGCAGAAACCAAATGAGAAACAAAACCGCCATATAAATGGATGGAAGCATGAGAAATCCAACAGGAACAAGATAAGAAGGTATAGACATGATGTGAATTACCAGTCATCTTGATAGTGAAGATATTCATTGTCGTGATTGTATAGAATGCCGGGCTGGTTTGGGTCTTGCACGAATTTCTGCTCAGCTGATCGAGTGAAAAAGCCACCATCTGGGGTTTTTATTCTCCAGGACAAGTTCCCTACAAGTTTGCTGGATTCTGTATGGAATTCATGCAATTGGCAATCAAATACATCGAAGGTAGGATTCAAGCCACTTGTAATGAACCACTTTCCGTTGAACTTCGACATATCAAAGCTTTTAACAAGAGCAGCAGGATCTGGGATAGGAAATTCTCCCACATCAGATTTCATAGGTACGCACTTCTTTCGTGACACTGCACATTCATTAAATTCATCTACGACTTTGTTTTCAAACAGGTCACCACATTTAATCTGCAAAAATGAAGAAGATAAATAGAATTAATGACACCAGAATTCTCTCCTGTGTAAACTATATCACCGCTGAAACTGAGAGAGAGAGAGACTAGCCTGGCATTCAGTCTCATCTGGTCGATTATTGCAAGTTTGCAAACAAGCAATATTGGCAGCACATGACGGGTTTCCAATGCACTTCGCAAGTTCTACCCTGACATGAATAGGTGTTCCAGTAATCCAATTAAGGACAAAGGCTAAATTTTTTCAGTGTCCACACAAGAGAAAAACCATAACACATGCATAGTGAACATATAATTTAGAAATCCACTTGTTTCCGTTACCTTATGTCTTATGATAAGCCAAGACCTAAACCAACATTTACTAAAAAAAAATTAAGGAAAACTAATGAAAAGGGCTTGAAAACTTTGAGTTTTAATGATAAGGACAAAATAAAGAGTAAAATGAATAGTATCAGGATTGACTTTTTAGTGTAAAAATGTGGTTTTTCGTTAAAGTGAATAGTACCAGGAGCTTTTCGTTAAAAATTAAGCTTTATTCCATTTTATGGACTTGGTAGGACTGGCGGATCTCATAACACACTAAACTACAGAAAATCCGGATATGTAATAGAAAACAAGAAGCGCATAAGAAATCATGTTAAAGATACGACTAAAAGATCAAACTTGTTTGAATGAATTACCTGCATTCCTTAAGTAAGCAGGCACAAGTTTTGAGAGCATCGACAGCATTGGCTGATGGCATGACCATGAAAGTGCATAACAGTAAACCAGCTACTTTCATGAAATGTAACTGGCTCCACTCTTTAATAACACTCAATACTTCTTCAATCATCAAATCAATCGCGCGTCCCATCTGCAAAGAGGAAGCAAAAAGAGAAAAAGACGTCAATCATCACTCAACTCTGCATAAAGAAACCAAGACTGCAGATATATTGCACGAGTTACCTCGGGTTCACTAGTTTTCGTGCTTCGTTCTGAGAAAGCCTCCTCCATCCTGCTAGAGAGCAGCGAAGAACGCTTTGACCCCAAGCCAGAAAAGTTTCTTCTCTGGGAGGAAAATTTCACAACCACATGAAAACCAACCATCCTTCCCTTCTGAAGCCTTTCATCATTTTTAAGTCCCAACCTAATACAAGCATTTCCTATACCATCTTTATGGGACAGGAAGACCGAACGTCCAGCCAACGCCATACTTCAGAATCTTTTACTTCGAATTCTGGCCTGCACACAGTTCATTATATCAGAGGTATTTTTCCCTTTTCCCCGGAATGTAATTAATCAGAAATCCATTCCCTTCAAAAATGTTATGACAGCCTTTCATTTGCTTCTCCTTCACAGAAGTTAAATGCCCTCATACATTTATTTGGCCTAATTCTTGTGATAAATTTTATTCAACCTCAGATTATAAACGAAAACAAAGATTTACCGCAGTTCAATTCGGACTCCACTCTCAAGACTACAAATACAATTCGAATTTTGAACTTCTAGTTTGGAAGAGGGACTTTATACAAAGTTCTAAGGAACTCCAGACAAAATTTTTGAAAATGAACTACCAATTAACTACTCAAGCTCTACAAATTTAAAACACTACAAAGACGCAAACAAAGGACTTCCGAATGACACCACGAAAGGTGTCATTTCAAAGTTTTCTCGGATGAATTCGAGTCATTTTCAAGTCCCTTGATCTCAAACACGAACTGATGGCAAAAACGACGTATTTATGTAGTTACAAGATAAAAAGTAAAAGACTTGGCCGCCCAGGGAGTCCCATTAAAACTACATGAAGATTGCAGGGAGACCCAAAATCTGATCTTTTCTCACTACCCAAAAGCTGAAATTTTGCACTACCTAAAAGCTGAATTTTAGCTGAATTTCTCAAATACCCGAAGGAACAGAAAAAAAAAAGTTTGGTAGAGCGTGGTATGGAATTTATACAATGTATAATTCTAAGTAGCTTTAATGAATTAATCTTGCAAAAAATGAACACACACATAATATATATATATATATATATAGAGAGAGAGAGAGAGAGAGAGAGAGAGAGAGAGAGAGAGAGAGAGAGAGAGAGTGAGAGAGAGTACCTTGTGGTGTATTGGTGGAGAAGATGATGGGCATGGCAATTGGCAGCCGCTAGCTTATCTATCTACTTTGCAGTAAATTAGGTGCAGACAGTCGACAACTAAGCAAAATGGAGAGGAGAGAAGAACGGAAGAGAAGAGGAGAAGAGGGCGCCAAATTTTAGTTGGGTTGGGCGGATAAGAGTGGCCCAACGTGTGGAAACCAGGGCTGTAACGTATTCCAATTTCCAAGTGGCTTTTGTTTTTGTTTTCATTTTTTTTTTAATTATCTAATTTTTTAGGAATTTTATTTTTTATCTCTATTTTGTATACAATCCTTAACTCTCAATACAAAATATCTATTTGGCAGAACTGTTTTAGAAAAATATTATTATCAAGGAAGGGAGAGTTCGTAACTATGACAATAATTCAAGACAGGTGAGAGTTTCAAAATCGGGATGCATGAGTGAGAACTCATTTCTTTATCCACTAAGATATTGGATCAAATGCAAAATAGCAAATATAATACACACGAAACAAAAAGAGATATTAACTCCAAAAAATTATATTAACTCAAATAATTTGTCTCAATTCAATCGTTGCAAGAGTTTTGTAGTATAGAGCTGCTTGAGAATTCTGAATCGAAGAGATTTTATTTTCGTATCAAGAATTTTTTTTTTTTTGGGAAATTGAAGGAAAAAAAAAAAAGATCAACTATCGTTTGGAATGTGCTTTTCCAAAAAACGTTTCTACGAACGGTATTACCACCTCCAAATTATTATTTTCCCAAATACAGTCGAATAAAGTGTTTGTAAACCTCTCAAAATCGAACCCAAACATTAACAATGAAATAACCAAGGCTCATGATTATGCTCCATAGTTTGGGAACCAAGGCCCATGATTATCTTTGGCCCATATGTTAATACAAAATTGATTTAAGTTTTGTTTTTTTTTTTTATCGAAAACAAATAAAGATGGAGCTTTTAAAGAATCATGAGAGGGCGATGAAGAGGAGGATTATGGAGAAATCTAGAGAAGCGCAGATGGTTTAGTAATTAATTTAATAATGTATGGAAATCATCCATTATGTCCCTTTTATAATTTCTTAGTGTACATCTTAGAAATTGGATTATGAAGGAAGAAAAATAGATTAGTTTAAAGAAGAATAGACGAAATGATAGCGACTTTATTATAATATTAAGACTTGAAACAAATGTTAAAGACATATTCGAGGTAACATTCAAGAGGTCCTTAATTCAAAAAAACTTTAACAAAACATAAATGGCCAACTTAGCCAAACTAATTGTCACTATACCGGTGAATTTGAGGGCAAGACATGTCCGAGAATAAACAAAAGTTAAGAGTATTGTGCTTCTCCTTTGCACTCAAGTTTGAATACTCTTTTTGTACTTGTAACATCTCGCTTGTGTTAAAAAAAATAGTATCATATCTAGTAATCAAGTTTAGCTAAATTGGTTAGAGTAGTATGATTCCCTTTTACACTCAAGTTTGAATTCTCCTTACATAGTTTAGATAAATTTAAGCTAAAATATCTCTTCTGTGGTTAAGATGAATTAAGTGTAAAATATCGCTATTGTCCAAAAATTAGTATTTTCGCACTGTAGGGGATTCACCAGACATAATAAGCACCAAAATGGCCAAATAACAGATAAGCTTTTGTTATAAAATAAGATGATGTTGTAAAAAAAGATATTAGTTTGTAGTTTTGTACAGGTACATATATATGTGGCGATGTGAATGAAGATTAGATGATTGGTTCAACATTTTAATAAGCATATGCATTTGGAGCCACTTCACAAGTGGATGTTATTTTAATTATCACTTAATTAACATCCCTTAATTATGGTTTATGTACATGATCAAAGCCACCGGAAATTTCAATGTTGTAAGAGCAGCTGGCTGTCTCAGAACCAAAACTAGCAGAAGCAAAGAATATATCCCTATTCGTTTTTCGATGTCGACGAGGAAGGCTAGGGTTTCTAATTTCTATAAGTTTTCAGTTCCACTCTTGCCTTGGAAAACTTTCGGCTACATTGTAAATCGTTCACAAAACATAATTTTCTTTGCTTAATTCCTCATATTATTGGTGTAGGACTTGTAAAAAACTAATATGACACCAAGAAACCTTTCTTACAAAATTACCATCTTACTCATTGTCGCTTATTTTATCTTAACTTTTGCAGATGATTTATCTTCACCAGATGATCCCTCAGGTCCTTTTATTTTTTACTTTAGTAAATATATATATATATATATATATATATTTAATAACTGTTGTGAGAGTTGAACTTGTAGCTCCTTCCAACAAAGGAGAGACTTGGTTCCATTAAACCAAAGGATCGCCTCCACTAAGGAGGCATAGTCTCTTCTAGTTTATTAAAATGACTGATAGCTAGATAAATTAATTGAAATATGTCTTTGAAATGAAATTTGTTTGACTCCTTCCATGCAACAATTTTTCTTTTTGCGTCATCATATTGATTTCATTTAGTAACGAGAAATAACTCTTTACATGTAAGGAGCCAAGCAATGTTTATTTAGGTTATCTATTACTTTGCAGCCTTTGTGTCTAGCTAGGAAGATTTATGATTGTTTGAATTGTAGATGCAAACATTTGGAACACACATGCTTATAAGATATCATATATGCATGACTTCTTGCAGGAGGCTGTGTGTTAAATTTCACATCCATTCCATACCAACCAACTGGGGAGTGCCTCTCTCGCGTAGGACATAAAATAAACGTTTGGGGAAGCTACCGCACAAGCCCGTGCTGTCGAAATGTCCTCACCACCATGTCCAAAGCCTTAGCCATTCACTCAGTCAAGACTCAGGGCAGTGCCAGTGTCTTTCTTCCAGAACAAGAATGGAAAAACTGCAGCGGCCCTTTTCAGAAGGAGCGAAACGTGTCTGCAAAAAACTGTCATTTTGATGGCCTTTACTACGGTAGCAGTGCGTGCTCGAACACAACTCTTGCATCCATCAAGAAAGAGCAGGCCTTCCAAAACGCGATAAGTAATTGCTCAAACCTTAGCAATGCATTTGAGGATGTTTGTGGAAATTGCAGCAAGGCCGTATTAGATTTGAGGGACGATTTACTGGAAGCATATGATGTGAAGGATGGGAACGCAACTGAGACGGGCATATGTGCTATGGCAGCTGTTATTTCTGTTTTAGAAGAGAAGATGAACAATACCTTTTCGATCGACAATGACTATATGTTTTGTATGTCTTTGTTAGACACCTTCGGTATGAAAACTACTTCAATGCCTCATGCTTGCTCAATTAACTTCCTATTTACTCAAGTATTTTTATGATTCTATCTGCTTAATTAATTTTCTGTTTCTTGTGTTTTCGCTTTCGGTCCATTGCAGAACCAGGCTACATCAAAATCAAATGTAAGTACAGCTATAGTACTATTTCAATCTACTCTATTTGGTGAAAATTGACAACCAAAAGTTTATGTGTCCTCAAAGAAATTAATCATTTAATCTATCAGATTCATTGGCAGAAGCGATACTTTCCATCTTAATAGGCATCACCGCAGTGACGCTGATCATCCTGCTGATAAAATTTGTGACCAAGAAGCAGCCTCAAAAACCGGTTCACTCAGGACCGATTACTACATGGTCTGGCTTGTACAGGTTCTCCAAGGCCGAGATTGAGAATGCCATTAATACTGAAAGAAAGGACCTTGGACGAGGAAGCGCTGGTCAAGTTTATAAAGGGGTTCTTCCGAGCGGGCAAGTTGTGGCCATTAAGCACATAAACAAGAGCAACACATCCGATTCATTTACTAGAGAAGTGGAAGGCCTTTCGAGGATTCGACATCCAAACTTGGTTTGCCTCTTTGGTTGCTGCGTCGAAGATGGCGAACAATATCTTGTGTATGAATATTGCGCTAAAGGGAATCTAGCTCAACACCTCCTAAGTAATTCCTCTGATTCTTATCGATTTCTAGAACATATTTAATAAGTTAATCATCTTGGAAATACTTTTTCTTTAAGGATCACAAAAATAATTTCATTTATTGCGATCAGGTGACGATCCTGTCTTAACATGGGAAAGAAGAGTTAAGATTCTAAGAGATTGTGCACTTGCTCTGAGATATCTCCACCATTATATTGATGGATGCATTGTCCATAGAGATATTAAGGTAATAATTAAACGTGGAGAACAGATTCCCGCACACCCTTTATCTTCTTTGGCACATCTCTCTTTACTTCTGTCTCTTAATTTTCATTTGATTTATTCAACCTAAAGTCTAAAGACCAGGATAAAAAAAGGAAGGTATGCAAAAGGAGAAAAGTAATGTGTGGAAATCATTTCCTTTAACTTTGATATGATTCTCCAATTAATTTTTTTTGAGTATATTGATGTTGATGCTTGGTTGCTGAATTTGTAGCTTACAAACATCCTTTTGACGGATAACTTGGAACCCAAGCTATCTGATTTCGGGCTGGCAAAGATGTTGGGTATGGAGGAGACCAAAGTATTTACAGATGTTAGAGGAACCATAGGCTACATGGATCCAGAGTACATGACCAATGCCAAGTTAACCTGCGCGAGTGATGTCTACAGTTTCGGTATTGTTGCTCTGCAACTGCTATCGGGGCAAAAAGTATTTGAGCTGGATCTTGATGCTAGAGACCAACTAACAAGAAAGGTATATACACCAGTTTATTAGCGCCGAGAGCTAGAGAAAGAGAAGATAGATTGACAATTCTAGTTAATTTTTTTGCAGGCAAAGGATATAAGTATGAACAAACGCCCTCCTGAGGATCTTGAGGACCCAAGACTGAATGGAAATGTGAACAAGGCGGACTTTGAATCGATCCTTCAAGTTGCAGTACTTTGCGTTGCCAAATCAAGCAAAGGCCGCCCTACCATCGGTCTTGTTTTCGAAGAGATGGACAAGGCTTGGAAGAACACTCTTGCTGACATGGTTAGGCCCCTCAAAATTTATAGCTCATTGGTACACATATATACATGTGCTGTATTGGTAATCTGTTTTCCTCTTTTCTCTGAGTGCAGAAGGCAAGGAATAAGGGGATAAGTTCATCAGCAACACCACTGTCTATGTCTTCCGATGTGTTTTCAGTCTGACTTGCAATTATGATCAACAAAGTTTTTGGCTGTTGTGTGTCGGTCTTATTGCTGAAGAG